TCAGAAGTCATATTCATGAAATTTAGCAATAAAATATTTTGAATAATATAATAATAGTACAGTAAAACCTGTATATCTGAACACCTGGCTAATCCGAACACCTTCCAATTTGAACACTTTTTTTCGGTCCCATTTTTTCCTCCCATTGACTCCCATGTTAAAAAACCTTGAAATCTGAACACCTCCTAATTTGAACAGTGAACAACCAGATTTGAAAAAGTGACCTGTCTAATCTGAACATTTTTATCAGAAATCAAATGTCTGGACATCTCAATAATAGCTACATATTGAGTCAATGCTATAGTTGTTATTTATCTTTACATATATACAAATGCAATCAAAGAACCAATCGTCCTAATTAACTTATTTAGTCTCAGTGACATCCCTAATTTGTGGAAAACAACAGGATGTTTTGGAAAGGTGTGAATACAGGAGTTAATTGGTTTATCCTATTAGAAAAGAACTGAATGTTTTATTTTTGGATTAAGAGAAAGGTGTGAATCAAGAAGATAATTGATTTATAATTATTGGAAATCACCTGGATGTTTTTGATTTGGATTAAGAGAAAGGTGAGAGTCTGGGAGATAATTGGTTTATCCTTATTGTAAATTAACTGGATGTTTTTGATTTGGATTATGAACAGGTCTTAACTGTTTTATATCCCATGGGCCTGTTATGATAGCTAAGATTCAATCAGTAAATGTTTTATAATCACAAAGACAACACAGACGCCATTTGCAGACACGATTATATCATGAGAAAGAGAAAAAACCAACTTCGTAATATTCGCATACATCTGACATCCTTAATGCCCTTGATATTTTGAAGGATTATACATCATCTCGAATGAACACTCATGAAAAATTATTTTTACTTGAAGAGGATATCTACTCAAATATTGCTAATGCTAAAAGTGCCAAGAAACAAAAAACAATGAAGGACTTTTTTTCAAGCAAAAGTAAAGCAGTGCTATATAACCATAATATGGGATAAGCCATTTGATAAGCATAAGATTTCGTACGAGACTATCATATACTTTTACAGTGTATTACAAAGTTTTTGCCAAAATATAAGAGTTATTTTTACTAAAATGATGAAATTGTTCAAAATATAAATAAAACATAGCATATAGGCTATAGGTCTATTGTAGAATTAACTCATCAACAACATGTATTGTTTTCTGACTTACTAGTATTAAGTGTTCAATATAGTGCACTGAACAATGAAAATTACCAACAAAATCCTCGAAATTTGAACACCTGCCAATTTGAACGCTTTTAGCTGGTCCCATGGGTGTTCGGATTAGACAGGTTTTACTGTATACAAGTAATAATGTAGTATAATATTAATATCAAATATTATTTTGGTACTTATTCATACATGATATATTATTACACTTAGTATGCATGTGCATAATCCAAAAAAATTAACAGATTAAACTTCCTTTAAACTTTCTCAAAATGCTCAAATTAATTGTTTGATTCATTTGTAGAAAAGTCACTGTTGTAATTATATTTATTTATATATATGTTTGGCAAGAAATGTTGTGAACAAGCACTTCAAGCACTTGTTTTATTAGTAAAAAGGTGATTCAAGTTAAATCAAAATGCTTTACTTAATCCATTGAGAAAAAATGTCTTCTAAATTCAAAAAAATATTGAGGCTTATTTGAGTCACATTATAACATGAAAACATAATTATACAAACTCAATTTGTTTTCCTAATATGCACCCATAATACTGGAAATAACTTGGGTACGAGTTGTCTTGGGTACCAGTTATCTTGGGTACGAGTTGTCTTGGGTACCAGTTACCTTGGGTACGACTTGTCTTGGGTACCAGTTGACTAGGAAGCATTTTAAAGGTCTAAGTTGCTCATGACACCACAAGCTATTCAGATATGTAAGATCTCTAAATAATTTTTATAGTTCTGAGAAACTCATCCTTAAATATTGTCCAACGATGTGCACTATGTTGTTTATTGCCACATGGACAAGTAGCAATACACCCTTGACTAGAAACTTTGTATAGCAATTTTCGCTGCCTTTTGCCATTTTACATTTGCGAATTGCCAAGGACATATGTTTCTTGTGTTGCTACGAAGGTTTGTTTGTGAGTACTGGTACAAGACACCCTTCTTTGATATATCTTCAAATAGGTATTGCACTTTGAGATTCATATAGTAATTTAGAATGCTACCTTGAAGGACATAAGAAACTTTAAGAGCTCTTTTTAACTCTCATCCTTCTTTGCAAGCAACATTCTGTATCATCAGACTGAATACAAATTCTCTCAACATTGAACTCCTTTGTCTTGTCTGCAGCACTGTAATAGACAAGGAGAGTGTCAACTTCTTCATGATCAGTATTTGATAGATAAGTTGCAACTATCAGTTTTGCAAAGTTCAATAGCAGCTCTGCCATAAGTGAAATTCATCCCATTTTAGAGATACAGAACATTGCTTCACAAACCAAAGACAGCTTTACCATTTTGTAATCCTTTCCAAAATCATCTTGTTGGCTGTTCTTCATTTCACAATGTTTACATTTACCAAAATATCCCCAAGCCCAATATCTATCATGAACTTCCTAATTACACCACCCTTAGGTGTAATATGGAAATCACCAAGCATTTGACAACATTGCATTTGATATGAGGGAATTCAACCAATATGGCTTGATCACTGGTTATAATTATCACAGTACTATACCCCATTATTTTTAAATATATTCCAAGTACTAGTATTGTACTATACATTGCATAGATTCATGAGCAGTTTGCAACATATCATAACCAGAAAAGCCCAATGGACAAAGATAGAGAATACCCGCCCCATTTGCAACTCAACTTTAAATGTCTAATTTTTAGACTTGTATACTCATGAAGTTCCTGACACATCTGAAAAATATCAAATAATACATAGTATTGATCTAGAATAGCGACAACTTTGTTAAAGTCTATACTTTGAAATTGTTTGGTTTTTATATTTCTGGTTATTTTTTCAAAATAAATGGGCTCCGAGATATGTAAGCTCTAATATAATGACAGGCTTTCCAATATACATTTTTAAATACCTTAAATCAAAATGGGCAGGCAAAAGAACAGATTTGATCAAGAATCCATCAACCAATCAGCATAAAACTTAAGATATAAGGAACTATATGTTATTGCTAACAGTGGAAATGATGAAAAATGCCAAATTTTGTTCTTAAATGTCTAATTTCTCTACACTAGAATACTAATGAAGGTCCTGAAACATTAATTATAGCAATCAATAACACATAAAGAATAGTTACATCTTTGTTAAAGTTTATACTGGTAGTTTGAAGTTATTTTTTATATTTTCCAGTCATCTTCCCTAATAAATGGGGTAGGGGAGAACTGAAAGCTCTAATATGAACATTGTTTGTCTACTATACATTTTCAGTACCTTAAATGGAATAAAACATGTACAAGAACAGATTTAATCCCAAATGTATCAACCAGTCAGCATAAAACTCAAGATATGAGGATCTATATGTTACTGCTGAAAGCAGCATTGATTAAAAAATGCCAAGTTTTGTCCTTAAATGTCTCATTTCTAGCCACTTGAATACCAATAAAAGTTCTGAAAAATCTTAAAAATATTAAATAACACATAATATTGATAATAAAATAGCTACAACTTTATGAAAGTCTATAATTTCAAGTTATTTTATTTTTTTATATTTCTCGTTTATTTTCCATAATTGATGGGGTAGGGGAGATCTGAAAGCTCTAATATGAACATTGTTTGTCTACTATACATTTTCTATACCTTAAATGGAAGAAGACATGCACAAGAACAGATTTGATTGAAAATGCAACAATCAGACAGCATAAAACTCAAGATATGAGGAACTATATATTACTGCTGAAAGCGAAAATGATAAAAAAAATGCCAAGTTTTGTCCTTAAATGTCTCATTTCTAGCCACTTGTATACCGCTATAGGTTCGGAAATATCTTAAAAACATTAAATAACACATAATATTGACATAGAATAGCTACAACTTTGTTAAAGTTTATAATTTCAAGTTATTTTATTTTTTCATATTTTTCAGTAATTTTCCATAATAAATGGGGTAGGGGAGATCTGAAAGCTCTCATATGAACAATGGTTGTCCACTATACATTTTCTACACCTTAAATGGAAGAACATATGTACAAGCACAGATTTAATCAAAAATGCAACAACCAGTCAGCATTAAACTCGAGATATAAGGAACTATATGTTAATGCTGAAAGCGAAAATGAATAAAAATGCCAAATTTTGTCCTTAAATGTCACATTTCTAGACACAAGTATACTAATGAAGGTATTGAAACATCTGAGAAACCTTACATAACACAAAATATTGATATAGAATAGCTACAACTTTGTTTGAGTTGAACATTTTGACTTCTTGTAGTTTCCATTTTTAGCCAATTTTTTCTAAAAAATTCAAGGTATGTCTTCTTCGGACCAGTATTTAGATATGTTCGCAAGAGTTATATGCTTCGCAGGCGAAATCCTTTATGCAGGACACCCTAATAGAATAAAAAATACACAGAAATTCCATCCAGCTCATAAAGTCATTTTTTCCTTAACGGAGCCTCTTAGAAAATTTTCCACCCCGAGTAATTCGTGTCCTCCCTGTCTTCCATTTTGAAATATGCTTCAAACTGCGTGCCTAGTACATGTAGTATGGGCGCGCAGATTGTGGGCACCGTGTGTTACCTCTACATATTGTATAAAGTCAAATGTATCAAGGCTAAGCTACGAGGCAAGCAAGGCAATCTCCTGCAAAACGGTTGGACGCAGTCTTTATTTATTTTTTATCTATTTTTCATTGATTTATTATGGCGCGTCCATCGACCATTGATCATTGATCAAAAAGAGATGGCAGTATAGTTAAGGGCCTATATCATGCAACAAGAATGTCTTGCTCGTGGTTAAAAATGGTTTTATCCAATGATCTATTACTATACATACGTTTTTTCAGACGCACTACGCAGTTGTCACATGTTTGTGGGTCACGCATACTCATCTAAGTGACAACTTATTACAATGGCCCAGAGGCAGGGTCATCAACAGAGAAGGGACTATGGACATCGAGAGAGGCCAAATAGCGACAAAGACCATCGTCAACATTGCACAATGCGTCTTTCCGAATCCGATCTTGATTCCCCCATTAGGCAATCGGGCGACGATTTGCGACAGCCATTCCGAGGCAGGGGAGGCTCGAATCAAAGAGGGAACCATCGACCATTTACCTCATACAACAGAGGCAATGGGCATCCCAACAGAGAGGAAGAGGGACCATCCCATCGAGGAGGCTCATATCGCTCGAGTGGCCAGTCACAAAATGATAGACATTTTCATGTCGGACAAAGGTAATTATGTTTCTCATCCAAAAATATGTGAAATTAGTCTTTTTAACATTTGATTTTTAAAGTATTAGATATTCAAGTGAAGCAATTTTCCAAAATGCCGGGATTTGCTATATATGTAACCAGCTTCAGGGACAGAAACTACTATGTCTATGTCTATGGATGATAAAAATAGACCAAAATCTTTACATTACATTCAATATTCTTCTTCTAGTATGATCAAAATATTGTTTTTTGTTTGTCGTATACAATTATTTCCCTCACTCTTATCAACACATGTCAGCCACTTAACAAAAAATTCGACTGTACATTTTTCCCGATTGGTAGGTGGTAGCAAAGCATGGTCCAATATTTTTGTTAAAAGTCATTAGAGTAAAGACTAGATTACAATATATTCCCAGTAATTCATGTTACCTTTATTAAAAAAAACTTATATCACCAATAGATCGTCAAATCGTGACCAAATTCCATCTACATATTATACATTTTTTCCTGCACAACTTCATTTTGATGTCTCCACATACAACATTTGAATCTAAGAAGGTTTTTAATTGATTCACTGCATTTTACGAGTTCAACACTATTGCATTGAATGATAAAAATACATTTTCGAAAGAACTTGATATATATAGGTTTTAAAACAAATTTGGTGAAAAATCAATAAAAGTAGAACTATCAAGAGTATGGAACGGAGTAAATATAAACATCATTATGTCTTCTACTTTGTCTTTGTTTAACTCTTCTTTAAAATCACTTCTCCTTTCCACATACATCTAATATCATCATATAATATGGAATGTGGTGTAAACTGAACAGTATACGCCCAGCGTCTTGTGCATACCTTGTTATGCAAATTGGAATAATTATAATATGAAAATAAATATAACATAAAACAACACAACATAATATAACATAACATAACATAACATAACATAACATAAAAAACATTCGAACATGACTGTATCCATGCCTTCTATAAACTGTGAACAAAGTCAGTGCTTCAGCTGGGTTATATTCGAGATCAATTCCCCGGCTATGTACTAAGTGTTTCGTTCAGTGCACTCATTGGTCAGTTTATGCCGTTCCGTTCTTTTCGCATCCCCCTCTCGTCTGCAAAATTCAAAATGGCAGGGAGAAATTGTCCGGAGCCAAAATTTTCTGTCGGAGCATTTGTAAACTGTAATCTCAATAATTATCAATGTAGTAGATATGCGTGAAACCAATAAAATAGGCCGAAATGTCAATGAAAAACTTAAGTCGGAGTCAGGAGGTAAGTAAACAAATTGGAACAGCCAAACGCTCAACCGGAAGTAGAAATGAAAAAAGTGGAAATGAACATCGAAATTGACGATTTTGGAATATTCTGGTGAGTTTTCATGTTCGAATCGTAATATATACCTCAGAGCAGGGCTACTAGTTTCGAATACACCCCTTAGGTCTAGGCACAAAAGCTTTCGAAACTAGTAGCCCTGCTCTTCAGTCTATATTTCTTAATTACAACATAACATAACATAACATAACATAACATAACATAACATAACATAACATAACATAACAACATAACATAACATAACAACATAACTTAATCAACGCTTAATCAATTTGTATCATTCTTAAAAATTGATTTAATAGCATTCATGCTTTCCGTTTACTCTAGAAGTGTGTTTATGCTGCAATGTAAAATAAAGTATTATATCAACATCTAACAATGTCAAGAAATAAGTCACATATCCTACTGTATGACTCGTGTTTAAAACCTTCAAATCATCTGATTTTAAATGAGTTTTGATTTTAAATGAGTTTTAAAAAGGCCCAATTGTACCACTGATCAGTTTAAGAAAATAATGTCACGTTTTATCCTAGAACATTTCCCATAGAGTTTCAGGGTGTGTAATATTTTTAGGGGTCATCGAGAAGGGCCATCCCGTCACCAGGGGAACCTGACCCTATGGAAGCTCCAAAGAATGCTTAGTTCGAAAAATGATGATGTCAACGCTTTTGTCCTCTGGCTCAGCCACGAGAGAAATGGATTCAAACAGCTTCTCAATTCCAAGATCTCAGACACGAAAATGATTGAAACTCTTCTTACTTCAATAGATACGGCAATCAATCGCTTGGTACCCGATGAGATATTATTGAATCTACTTGATACGATCCAAAACAGCACGTTTCTGAATGACTCCTTCCCGTATTATCTGATCATGATTTCACAAGACGGAGAGATCAACAAGGCTACCATTGATTGTCTGCAAAACACCCTGAAACTTTTACTGGAATTAATGACAAGCATGCCTTCGAGTTTCATCAAAGTCAATTCATGTCTAAGCACCCTGTCTGAAGTAGTGAAGAGACATACAAACCTGAACGATTCAGAAGACCTTCAAGGGAAACTTAAAGAAGCAGTCGAACTACGCGATAATCTGTTACAGAGACAAATGAAACATGGAGGGAAAAAAGAAAACAAGGGACCACCTGATGATTTTAAACAATACAGTATTTTCCCAACATTAGATGATATCTACCCTAAACACGAAACATACCTCCGTCCTATCAAGACTAAAGGGAAGTATGATGACCTGGACCATTACCTTGATGTTCAATATCGTCTCCTCAGGGAAGACTTTGTGTCGCCTTTGAGGAATGGCATACAAGAATACACCAACCTATCGAGTGTCCCTGGCAAGAAAAGGTTCCAAGACATCCGCGTGTATAACCGAGTGCAAATCCGGACTCCACTGTGTGGTGAGGATGGGATACTACATGATATCCAATTCGACTCGTCAAGACTCAGGCGTATCAACTGGACTCATTCTAAACGCCTCATCTATGGTTCTTTGTTGTGTCTGTCAGATGACGGTTTCCAAACGCTGATATTTGCCACTGTTATTAACCGAGATAACGAGCAACTAAAAGAGGGGCGTATCCAAGTCAGATTTGAGCATAGCCATGATGAGATTGCAGAGATGCCATTTGACAGAGAATTCACGATGATTGAAACATCAGCTTACTTTGAGGCATACAAACATGTCCTGGTGGCACTGCAAAAAATCCAACCATCTTTTCCATTTCAACGATATATTGTAAAATGTGAGAGGGAAGTCCAGCCACCTGAATACCTCAGGATTCCGGAAAATGACAAGTATGACCTTTTGCCATTTCTACCTGAAAATATTAGAAAGGAGAGATCATCGACTGATATGGCGGTTGCTACGTATGAAAACCGATTGAAGGAATCGTCACTGGGATCACCAGCCTATTTACGGTTAAAGAAGAAAATAGAGGAGCTAAAAGAGGTATCGAAACTGCCACCTTTGTGTATCCTCGATGAGAAAGACTGGCCAACACTTGAAGAAATGAATCTTGATGAGTCACAGTACAAAGCTCTTCAGATGGCGCTGAGGAATGAATTTGTCATTATCCAAGGCCCACCTGGAACAGGCAAGACTTACCTTGGGTTAAAAATAGTTGAAATACTATTACATAATCGGGACGTCTGGTCGAAACTAATGACCGAAGAAAGAGTTACCAATAGTCTGTCCCCTATTCTAATCGTCTGCTACACGAACCACGCCCTGGACCAGTTTGTAGAAGGGATAAGTAAATTCTGTAAAGAAGGTATTGTGCGCATTGGAGGAAGAAGTAAAAGTGAAGACCTGGAAAAATACCATCTGTCAAAGTTGAAACGAGAGATGAAGGTTGAACGGAATATTCCAGGAGAAGTGTATCGCAGAAAGGGTGAATTACGAGAGGATATAAACAAGACGGAAATTACCATCCATAAGAGTGCTGCTGAAATTCAAGTCTCTTATGAAGGCATATTGCACGAGGAGTTACTAAAACCTCATATGGAAAACCAGAATTGGCAATCGCTTGTCAAATGGACACCACCTCACTTAAAGATAAATTTTGGGTTCTATGTTGTGGAGTGGCTGGGCCTTTCGAAACAACCTAAACGGGGCTATCGTGTTGGGACATCTGGATATCAAAATGATACACAAGGGAATGAAGGAGAGGAAAAAGAAACAAAAAACACAATTAAGGTTGCTGAGGAAGCCAGAGAAATTCAAGATGAAAGAAAAGTATCGAGTATCTTTTCAGAGACTGATTCCCTTGGTAATTATCAAAAAGAAGCAATGAAAAACGTCAAACTCTGTCTGCATAGTCGGGTTCTCAGAAATGAACACATGGAGTTTTGGATGAATTATGATCGGCAGAAATTTGGTGACCAAAAATGTAGTAGAGCTCAATATCTCGATGCAGGGTTGAAATCAGAAGAGGTAATGACAGACATAGAAGCAAGACAACGCAGAGACCTTTGGAGGATGAATTATACGGATCGATGGAAACTATACAGACACTGGGTAAGAAAATACCGCATTGCAAAGAAAGAGAATATTAGAGAGAGTGAGAAGGCGTATGAGAGGTTAACAAAGCAAATGGTGGAAATTCGAATGGAAGAAGATATTGCTGTCATGAACAATGCAACTGTTATTGCTATGACAACGTCAGGAGCTGCTCGTTATCAAAATGCCCTCCAGAGGATTTCACCAAGAATAGTAGTTGTAGAAGAAGCTGCAGAGGTCCTCGAAGCTCATATTGTTGCAAACCTTAGCAATGGATGCCAACATCTTATTTTGATTGGGGATCACAAGCAATTGAGACCTAACCCAACAGTATACAAACTGGCCACTCGTTACAACTTGGAAGTCTCATTCTTCGAAAGGATGATCAACAATGGTATTCCCTACCAGTGTCTTCAGCTTCAACATCGTATGAGGCCAGAAATTGCAGAACTGATAAGTGACATCTATCCAGAGCTTCAAAATCACCCATGTGTTGAAGAGTATGAAACAGTCGGTGGCATAACAAAGAATCTGTTCTTTGTTGATCACAAAGAGATGGAATCGACAGATGAAGAGCTAATGAGTAAGTCTAATGATCACGAGGCTGTGTTTGTTGTGGCTCTCTGTAGGTACCTGATGCACCAAGGATTCGAGGGTGAAGACATAACGATTCTGACATTGTACACTGGCCAGGTGCTTATTCTGAAGAAGCTGATGCCGAATGACACGTTTCAAGGTGTTAAAGTTTGCTCGGTAGACAACTATCAAGGAGAGGAGAACAAGATAATTATACTCTCTCTGGTGAGGAGTAACGATGAAAACAAAATAGGATTTCTCAAAATTGAGAACCGTGTCTGTGTTGCATTGTCAAGGGCAAAAGTTGGGTTCTATGCAATAGGGAATATGGAGCTTCTTGCAAACAATAGCCCCTTGTGGAAGAAACTTACAACCCGTATGACAGAGAGTGGCAACATTGGACAAGGTCTGGAACTCTTTTGCCAGAACCACCCGAAAGACGAACACATTTGTGCCAAAAATGGAGCTGATTTTAGTGGAGCCCCTAATGGAGGTTGCATGAAAGTATGTGAAAGTCGTCTAGAATGTGGCCATGCGTGTAGAGAGTATTGTCACATTGTAGAATGCACAACATTCAAGTGTAAAGCTTCCATTCGATGTGACTCATTTCTGAAATGCAGTCACACTCCAGACAAGGTTATTTTGTGCCACGAAAAGCATCAGTACGAATGTATGGAGCCATGTGAAAAAAGTTGCCCAAAGGAACACCCCTGTCCAAAAGTATGTCACGAAGACTGTGGAGATTGCACTAAACTAGTAGAAAAGACCATACCCAAATGTAATCATAGTCAACTGGTGTCTTGTCATTTAGATCCAGCTTTATTTAAATGCATGGCCAAGTGTGAAAAAGAGCTAGATTGTGAACACATCTGCCCGAAATTATGCCACGAGAGGTGCATATCTAGATACGACTGTATTGAAATGTGCCATGTTGAATTAGACTGTGGACACGAAGCTGATGTTCCGTGTTATAAGAAAAGTTCCCATAAATGCAAAGAAATGGTTGAACACATCATGCCTATATGTGGACACTCCCAACGAGTCGAGTGTTATAAGTTGGAAGAACATTGTTATCGTTCTCTGATTAAGTGTAATGCTCCATGTGAAAAGATTCTCAAATGTGGACATAGCTGTAAGAAGCTTTGCTATGAGAAGTGTGAGAGCTATAGCTACAATCCTTACAATCCTTTTCTTTATAGAAATAACATTGGCGACTGTCAAGAACGATGCTTGAAAAAATGTGACAATGATCATAGATGCAAGAAGAAGTGCCATGAACCGTGTGGTAAATGCAACGAGACAGCAACGGTTACTCTGGATTGTGGGCATACGAAAGATGTTCAGTGTCATGTCAAAACAGCATTCTCGTCATCAGAACAAAAGGAATCGGTGAAGAATTTCATAAAATGTCAGAAACGATGTGAAAGAAAATGTGAAAAAGGACATACGTGTAAGGGAAAATGTTGTGAAGAATGTAAACCTTGCACTGTATATATAGTCAAAGAAATTCCGAAATGTGGCCATAAACAGAAAATGGAATGCAGAATTGATCCCTCTGAAATTTCCTGTAAAACACAATGTAAGATCCGACTCCAATGCACTCATGAAATCACAGTGCAATGCCACCAACTGTCTGACACCACAGGTATTACGTGCTCCAAACCATGTTCCATTAAGTTACCTTGCGGGCATACGTGCGGAGGAACATGTGCAAGCTGTCATCAAGGACATGTCCATACTCCATGTAAGGCTACATGTGACCGTTTATTACCATGTGGCCATAAATGTACTAAGCCATGTGGATGTACTGACTGCCGACCATGTAGGGAAAAATGCAGACAAAGATGTGAACACAGGATATGCAATCGAAGTTGCAGTGATCCCTGTGTACCCTGCAATGCTCGGTGTGGTAAATCATGTCAGCATCGCTCATGCAAAAATATTTGCAGCAGCAAATGTGGTGACCCACCCTGTAAGCTGCATTGTCCAATAAAATTCACATGTGGAAAATGCAGAAAGAAGAGGCCGTGTCTTGGTGTGTGTGGAGAGAGATGTCCAAAGAAATGTAAAATCTGTGATCGTGACGAGATTAACTCTGCTTGGATTGGCAAAAAGCTCACTGATGGGACTCGGTTTATCCTGCTGGAGGACTGTAACCATCTCATAGAAGTGAGTTACATGGACAACCATATGGCTGCTGATGATAAGGGTAACACTGTCATCAAAGCTAGAACATGTCCAAAATGTGACAAACCTATCGTTCGAAGTAGGCGTTATAGAAGTGCCATTATAGATCTCTTACATGCCGCAAACATAGAACAAGAAAAGAAGGTACTACTGGGAAATGAAGAATTTATAAAGCTCAGAGACGACATGGCTAAAACAATGAAAAAATTAGCTATTGTAGACAAACAAAAGCATTCTAGCTTAGAATTTAGATTGAAAACATCAAGAAACAGGAACGAAGTTGATGCTGATCAACTGAGAGCGATAATGATACAGGCAACTGTAACCATTTCATTAGCAGCCCTCAAAGGACATGTGAATGTCAACGATGAGAAGACCGATAATCCGAATAAGAAATTACTGAGAGAGTGTATAGAAGCATACACAAATGAAATACTTTCAGTAAGGAGACTTGTGTCCAGTTATGAGCTCAAGCAATACAAAGAGGAACACAGACGACTGGCCTTATTGATAAAAGACAATCCCGAAGATATCCTGAACTCCCCATCACCCAGCACAGTCTCCAAGATGATGGCATTGGCTGAGAAGTCCCTAAAGACCTGTCCTGAAGGATACCACTGTGGAGTTCTGGAAGAGTTGATCATACCTAACCATGATAGACAATCAGAAGACGTCTGGATGTTGTGCTTTAAAGGTGAGTCTAGGTGTGACAAACAATTATCTTTTTTAGTCTCGATCCGAATATATTTCCAAATTACAGCTTGTCAGACCTTTTTACCAGTCAGGTTTTACCGTTCTTGCAGATATGTTATTCTCATCAGTTTTTTAATCGCACCCTTATATTGTGATTAGTTTGACAGACATGCGGGCGGGCGTCCGGATTAATCTTTTCTACGGGTTTCCAGCCAAACTGTTCCGGGGATTCATCTGAAAATTTCAGGGATGTTTCTACCTATAAAAGTTTAGAACTGATTAGTTTTGGAGCATTCTGGGTAAATGTTAAGGCAGTCATTTTGGATTTCCGTCCTTAATCTTGTTTGTCGATGCTTGTCTACAGGTTTCAAGCCAAGTCGTTTTATGGATCCATCTGAAATTTTCAGTTATGTTTTTTACGTATGAAAACTTAAAACAGAATAGTTTTTGGGCATTCTTGGTAAATGTTAGGCTGGCCATTTTGAATTTTCCGTCCCGAAGACTTCTATTCAAGGGGACGATCTTGTTCAATCTTGTCTTGTTCTGTTAGCTATCTCGAGAGCCTCTTGCTATAGTTAAAGAACTATGACATGTATGAAGCAGTATTTTTATTGATAAATTGTATTTAGTTTATTTTTGATTTAATCACATTATTCTCTGCAAAATGAATAGTATTAGTTTATAAAGCATATATATCACATAAAAACAGTTTAAGAGTTAAACACGGGAGCGCATATTACCATTTTTTGCCAGGTTTTGTGATTTTACAATCTCAAACGATATTTTAAAGAACAATTCTAGATCTGCAACAAATTTTCTTGTATTCACACCGTGTTAAAACGATTTATTTATAAAAAGATTTACCCTCTTAATATGGAAGTTTGTCTCTTAGGTCACGTGTGGAAAACATCAAATGACGTAACCGATTGCCCAACGTGTAAAGCTGATGGGACTACGTTTGTGAAGAAAGCGCCAAGAACGAATGTGGATAAAGCATCTGCTCGTGTCAAGATGAACGACGTCGATAAACACAATAAACAAACTAACGTTAGAAATAAAGAAAAAACTCCTCCACTGGGTGTTCCAGGTATGGTTACGAGTCGAATACTTCAAGCCATCTGATAGATTAAGAACCTATATCTTATTTACAAATATGAAGTAGTTCAACATTACACATTATGGAATATTTGGCGTTGTTGAATAAATATCGTTAAAATATTCATAACCGATTGTGCTGTACAGCTGTACAGCTTGAATTGACGATGGGATAACACTAATTTACCAAGTACTTGTTCAGAATATTTGTGTAGTTCCATGATGTAGTTTAATGATCTTTAATTTCAATCGCTAGGCCCAGGAGAGGTGGTTGGTATAGGCGCCAGGGCTAAAACCCATTCTGCACCACATCAGGGACACCACGGTCATAAAGACACTCACTCTCAGCATCATGGGTACCAACCTGGAAAACATCCTCGGCAACAAGGGTTCCAGGGTCAAGGTCATCCTCAGCAATCCAAATCAAGAGGTAACCTAGTTATAGCACGCGTGTATAGACCAAATCAATATGAGTTTTAGTTCATAGAACTATTGCCAAAAGCGAAAAACATTTTTGTGATTCAAACGATTCATTCAACTATATCACACAAGGACGCGGAATTAACTTCGACCGTTAATTTGAATTTTTGACCTATCAGACCTATGCAGATGTTTGAAAATAAAGATTGCGAGTCTCTGAGTGCATCGTTTTTCTTTAAACTTGTTCCATTCAAAGCAAAACAAAATTGCTTTTCAAACATCCGGTTTGTCAAAAATTCAAATTAACGGTCGAAGTTAGTACCGCGTGACAACCCAGTTCAATACCAAATCAACTAAAAATGTTTTATTCTTCCTTCTATAGCAAAAGAAGCGTGGCCAGATAATAACAAATGTCAAGTGGTAAATCCTGACAAGAGACCCGTTGGAGATAACAAGCAGCTCTCAGAGAATGTCAAAGATAAAACTGTCGATGGGGACAAACAACTACAACAGAAACCCAAAGCAGGTGGAAACCCTGCAACGTCTACTGGGAATTCAAAGAAGAGACAAAAGAGTAAGTATAATTGCTCAGTTATACATAAAATGAGAAAATATGCAAATATGGACTCTCAACACCCAGAATAACTTCTCCCTCTTTCTCTTAAAAGGAGGATATTTAATGTAAGTTCTGCTCTCAGTTGATACTGATACTGAGTTGTCATGGAAATGTATCAAGAACTGAATTTGCATTTGCCAGCATTTTAATTTGAATGCTAACCTGAAAATTACATAATGATGTATGAAATGTATGAATATGTTTCAGGAAAGAAGAAATAATTGATGTCAAGACTTTAAAATCGCATCATGGACTTTTATAAAATGGGAATAACAACAGTTGAACGATGATGAGAAATGAGAACAAATGTTCATTGACTTAGTATGCCTTTAAAATGTGGCATTAGCCTGCATTTTATGATTTAAATACTAGCCTGCTGAAAATAACATAATGATATATGAAATGTATGAATACCTTTCGGGAAAAAAGAATAATTGAGGTCTTCGAAATCGCTTGACCTTCCATTAAATTGGGCATTAGAACAGTTGGACGATGATGAGAAATGGAAACAAAAGATAACGGCAAAAAAGTAAATTTGCTTTTCGCTTTAAAACAAAACTGTAACGTTTCCGCTTTGTTCATCAAATATACATACTCAGTGATCTCCCCAGGATTTTTCTCAGGTGGGTGCTAAATTCTAATTCTCAAAATGCAGACCAAAAATGGTCAAAATATGCCTTGTAATGATTTTTCTCATTTTCAAGTGGGTGCAAATGGATTTTCAGGTGGTGCAAGCCTACATTGTATTTTCAAAATCTCAGGTGAGTGATGCGCCTCCTTGCTTTAATGCTGGGGAGATCACTAATACCTTATATACATAGCAATACTACAAGGAGGTACACGGGCAGGAGTGGATGATCACCAAGTGATCATTGATCATTTTTGAATGATATATTGCGAGAGCCTGTTTGTAAGGAATTGGATTTTGCTAACTACAGTCTTTACTACCCTGAGTGTAACTTGTAAATTAGTATAATATTGTGTGCGACACACTCCCCTCCATAAGTTTGGCAACCTAAGCTCCCCCATTGAACTACGTGTTAAAGCCCCTTTACGTTTGAATATTTATTCACTTAACCTGCAATGAAAATACGTATAATATTGATGGAAACGTAACTTGACTTTATTTCCAATACCTCCAAATTTTTTTATTTTTTCCTCTATTACAAAAAAAGTTCGGAAATTGGTGATAAACGAATTTTTTAAAATCGACATTCCCACGTTAACCAATGGAAAATGGTAGGTTTGCCGCAAGTCATTTGACAGAATATCCATCCATCCGAGTCATCAAATATACAAGTTAGGTAGGCAATTGAATTTGCCAACTTTATTTAAATTGATACGTTTCTTCAGGTTCAACAAAGTTATAGGTCTTTAAAGTCAAAATTGTTTTTCAAAAAACCTCTCCCATTGAAATAACACAGGAGGCGAAAAATGATTTTCAAAAATGACTTTGAAGCTCTGTAACTTTAGTATTTATCAAATAAACTTAACAGTTATCATGCAAAAAAGTTGGACAATTCAAATTTCTATAATCAAAAATATTTTTGCTGAATCTTTTACTGAATAGATATCCTGATTTCTGATTTGCCCCGAACACACAATTTTCCATTGGTCTATATGGGAATGACGATTTTCAAATATTCATCTCTATCATCAATTTTCGACCTATTGTAATTGAGGAAAAAAATTGAGAAAATTTCGAGGTATTGGAAATAAAGTCAATTTGCGTTTCCACCAATATTATAAGTAATTTCATTGTAGGGTAAGTAAATAAAAATTCAAACGTAAAGACGCTTTGACACGTAGATAGTTCAATTGGGGAGCTAAGGTTGCCAAACTTATGGAGGGGAGTGTATTCCTGAGAAAATGTATAAAATATGTAAATAGAACTTGTGCTTGCTAAAATAACGATTGTACAACTGTTAATATTTTATGAATTCACATATTTTAGGGAAACTTTCATTTCACTTAATTAAGCAATAACATGTGTATTGTAATAAAGCTATGTTAATCAAATTGAAGTCTTTTAAATATGATGATAGAATAATAGAATACAAGAAACCACACTTTGTGAGCTAAGAATTACGTTAATTTTACATCAGCTGTTATCAAAATAGTCCACTCATAGCCTATACTTTAAAAATTGTCGGTTACTGGTATTATGTCACCACCATAAGTGATGATATATTGTTATTGTTTCAAACTATTTTGTGACGGCGTTCGACGTCTGTGACAAATGGTAGGTGTGACATTTTTCAAGTTAATGCCTTGCTTATTTTGCCAGAGCTCTGGGTATGACTGTTGCGAATGTCTGAATGAATGGAGGTGGTGTGAAAGTGGTTTTGATATTTCATCTTTGCCTTGTTAAATGTATTATTTCATGTTTGATTTAATAAAATAAAATAAAAAGTTAATGCCTTGTTGGTTATTGTTGGGTCAACCTTGTAAAACCTACACTTTATGAATATAACGTTTTGTAGTGTCACAAGATAGGGACATGGATCTCGTCGCTGACGTCGCATATTGTGAAGATACAAGATACAAATTGTGAGCCAACTAAGTTCCAATCTAAACAGTGTGATATCGTAATGAGGGTAGAGACAGAGTGGTTCTGTTCCAGTACATGATCATATAAGTTATTGAATGATATGAAGTGCAACACAGGATAAATTCTGCTCGAGACAAAGCCTCGTGCCAATACAGAATATCGAGGGTACAATATATCCTGTATTGCACTTCAAATTATTCTACAAAGTTTTTATCGTGTGATCTTAGGCCTTTATATGTTACTTAGGAGATAATCTCTAGGACATATTCTGCATTCTCTGTATTGCTACTGAGATTGCCCCCTCCGTACCAGTATTTCCTGTTTTGCCACGAAGATGATCAATGGGGACAATCTCAGGAGCAATACAGATTGGTACAGCACAGAAACTGACCAATCAGAGAGCTTCATTTTACAGATCATACGATAATATAAAATATCTATATTTGTGTTACCACTCTGTCCCCCACCCCACGTCCTTTAGCCCCTGCAGGCATATACATTTAATAGTTTTAATAATAACTATCCTTGTGAATAGCCTTAAAACTCATGAAATAATTATTCAAATATCGATATCATAAATGATACTCTGAATGATCATTTCAATGTTAATGTTTCTGAAGTGAAAGTGAATGAAAAAGTTTCTGAAGTTAATGACATTAGCCTAGATCCTGAAGTCAGTGGCACGTTGTTGATTCAGGTCAGTCATAAATATACAATATAACAATAAAAGAATATACGAAAACCACAAACTGTGCTAAACAATTGTTATAACACAATGAATGATGGCCATGGGGTTAAGTACATGTTTACATATTCAAATACTAGATACCTGATCAAACAGTATATTCATTTTGGAATATGGTTGAAAAGATCTGCCATATATTGCGAACACGAAATATTGTGGTTAATCAATTAAAAACAAATGTTATTGATGATATATCAATGCATTAACATACTTTTGTGAATTGATCATTTCAGCATTTATTGTTTATATACACATTTACAAGATATATATTCTGTTCCATCAAAACCAGCCAGTGGTACAAGCTAAAGTTTATGGTAATATAGTTGAAGCAGATATGGCTCCCGAAAGTTTGGCGATACTGTTGGCAGTACTAATAAGTAAGTAGAAAATGTTCCCTATCAAGGGTTGACATGCAATTGCACGAACGATGTTATAGTTCATAAAACACACAGATTCGAGACCACGAAACAATCGGTACAATTCATAGACAACGCACGCCGAACGTCGGTCGCAAACGCGGTACTTCGCCACTTCTTGGTGATGTAAATGATAAGTCTATCACGATTTTCGAGAGATTTTACAGAACTTTATATATAATTCATCTTTCAGGACTTGGTAGCTGCGGCCAGAAGTCTTGTCGTAGGGAGGACGTACAAGAGCTCAAAGATGTAATTACTAACGCAGATGATGAACAGAAGAGCGAGATAGCAATTATAAAAGCCGAGGTTGCTGGCATCAAAAACGATATCGCTGCATTAAATGCAGGGTTGTCTCAAATATTGAGCATACTAGGTGAGAAGGCAGCTAGAAGTAATGACATTATGTAAAGAGGATCAGCATAGTCTAGGGATAAGTTTTCGGAATATTTTTTCGTAATTATTGTTTTGTATTAAAGAAGGGTTTGTTGGGCCCGTTGACAGTATACTTGTACATCCGGTTCATTGATAAACTCATAAGTTCATAACTTTTCCTGTTCCAGCTAGATCTGATTAATCATCCCAGCCCAGAACTTTCACCCAGATAAAATTCCTATCCCGATGCTTTAGGGTGTCGCGGAATGAAATATGTTGTCATTTCTTCTCGATCAATATATCATTCGCAAAACTATAACAATTTAGCACTTCCATTGTGGGATCCACAGCTTTTACAATCCTTTGGTATATTAGATATTACTAAATCGTGGCTCTAATAAATCAGAATATTGCAGCACTTCCAAAATGTCCTATAAAAAGGTGAGGTGTTTTTTCAGGGGAAACACCTAAAGAACCAGAAACAACAATTGCCTCAACTACTTATGGTAAGGATTTAAAACTTTAATAGTTTATGGGACAATTTACGATAATTGATATTTTAAAAATCTGTTGTACTAGAGACTGCGACATACTGTATATGTTGATTTCATGGACATGCAATGTGTTATTTTCTGTTGACCAGACTTCAAGTAATCATTAACACAAGGTACCTGTTTGGAATATTGCTCATCTTTTTAAAGAATGTCGCTTTAATGATGAATTTTTTGACAATTAACAAATATTTTATTTTTTCGGCAAATATAAACTCAGATTTCTAAACCAATGATGTAACGATTGCGTTGATATTTTTACCATGATAATAAAATGTATGTGCGATCAACTCTTGAAACCGGGATGTTTGATATGTCTTAGTCACATAATTAAGTATGTTTTACTATTATACACGATTTGTCAAATATTTGTATCCTCCAACACATTGGCCATATTAATTTACACTATTGATACATTATTTGGTGAAAGCTATGCCAGAAGGTGTATCTTGATTTTTTGTATTAAAGAAGGATTTGTTGGGCCCGTTGACAGTATATTTGTACATCCAGTAATTCCAGTTCATTGATAAACTCATAAGTTCATAACTTTTCTTGTTCCAGCTAGATCTGATTAATCATTCCAGCCCAGAACTTTTACCAAGATAAAATTACTATTTCGATGGTTTAGGGTGTCGCGGAATGAATGTGTTGTTATTTCGTCTCGATCAATACATCATTCGCAAAACTATTATATAACAATTTAGCACTTCCATTGTGGGATCCACAGCTTTTACAATCCTTTGGAATATTAGATATTGCTAAATCGTGGCTCTGATAAATCAGAATATTGCAGCACTTCCAAAATGTCTTATAAAAAGGTGAGGTTTATTTTCAGGGGAAACACCTAAAGAACCAGATACAACAATTGCTTCAACTACTTATGGTAAGGATTTAAAACTTTAATAGTTTATGGGACAATTTACGATAATTGATATTTCAAAAATCTGTTGTTGTACCAGAGACTGCGACGTTGATGCAATGTGTTATTTTCTGTTGACCAGACTTCAAGTAATCATTACCACAAGCTACCTGTTTTGAATATTGCTTATCTTTTTAAAGAATATCGCTTTAATGATGAATCTTTTGACAATTAACAAATATTTTATTTTTTCGGCTTGCTCAGATTTTTTAACCAATAATGTATTGATTGCGTTGATATTTTTACCATCTTTATAATGCTACACCTTCTGGCATAATGTTATGCCAGAAGGTGTATCTTGATAACATATCATAAATTGTACACAATGGAGATATATTTTTTTAAAATAAATACTCATTTATTTCTTTAAATCATTAAATAAATTTACAAATTGTAATCACGGCGTAATCGCCCATAAAGGGCATTTCTACTGCCGCTTTAAGTGAATTTAAATACAATATAATGTTATTGAGTCATATTCATAGTTAGTATAAAAATATATAAAATTTAAATACAATCTGTTTTACTGCCTGTCTGTACCCCCGTTGGTGCCCTGAAATTGAATTACTATTTTGATTGTTTAATTGTGTTTAATAAAATTTATAACTGGCTTAAAGATTTCGGAATTGTTTTCATTTGTCAGATCCTTGTCACCAAAAAGTAGGAAATTTTTCTTATTTTTTAATGTTTTGTATTTGTTAACATCTAAGTTTAACCACCGCTAGCGCATTTGTTTCTCTCAGAGGGCAGGACAAGAGTGTATGTTGTGCTGTCTCTCGAGCTCCACAGTCACAATATGGATCGTTAATGAAAGAGAAATTATGGTCAAAAAGATCGGATTTAAAATATCGATTTACTCTTATCTTATTTAGTATAATTTCGTCTTTTCTATCAAGATTCTGTATGTAGGAGGTTGAAATTGTAGGTTCCATGTTATTAGTGAGATGATCGTTTAGTTGTTTTTTTAAAAGTGAGAAGCTGTTTGTTTCCTTATGGTCTCTAGGAAGACGGTTCCACAAGGTTATCATTGAGCAAACTGTTCCCGTTTCCATTTTTTTACTAATTGAGGCTGGTAATTTGTAGTCGTTGGTTGTTCTAAGAACTCGCGTCTGAGGTGATTTATATCGTTCGAAAATCCGTTTAACGTAAGATGGTGCCGAATTGTTATGAATCTTGAACATAACGCGCAATTTATGTTCATCCCGTCTATTTTGAAGATTATCCCAATTTAATATTTCAAGGGTTTTTTCTGTGCTTGCTCCTTGCATAACACCAGAACAAATAACAGCTGCCCTATAATGTAGCTTGTCTAACTGGGCTAGGCTGGTAGCTGGAGCAGCGTCATAAATGATATCACAATAGTCCAGATGTGACAGGATAAAGGAAGAGTAAATTTTTTCCAGGTGTTTGGAATTTAATCTATGCTTAAGTGCCATAAGTGGATTTAATAATTTTTGAACTTTACCTTCTAGATATTCAATATGGGTTTTGAAAGTTAACTTTTCATCAAGAATTAGACCGAGGTGCTTATGATGTTTAATTTGATCTATTGGAGTGTCGTTGAAAACAAACTTAGGATATGTTCTCTCAATTGGTCTATTTGTTTTAAAGATCAACTCGTGACTTTTTTGTGGTGCGAAAGTTAGTCCCCATTTCTGGGACCACATTTGGATATGAATTAAGTCATCTTGAAGAACTTGGCTATCTGTTTGGTGATTTATTGGGTCAACCGGACAAAAAAGTGACGTGTCATCCGCATAGATAAAACATTTAGAGTTGAAATCGTCTGTTATGTCATTTAGATATAACAAAAAGAAAATCGGTCCCCATATTGAGCCTTGGGGGACTCCAGAGTTGATTTGACCGACTTTACTTGACCTAGATAATTCATCATTGATCTTAATTTTAATTGTTCTGTTTGTGAGGTAAGATTGAAAAAGGTCAATTAGTGATTTTGGGATACCGTAGGATTTGATTTTCTGAAGAAGGAGTACATGAGGGACTTTGTCGAAGGCTGATTGAATGTCCAAAAATATTGCTCGAACATCGAGACCATTTTCAAAATTTTGAAGAATGTAGTTTGTTATAGCAGTTAGTTGGAGTTGAGTGTTGTGTTCTTTAAGAAATCCAGATTGCATTTCATAAATTAGGTTATTTTATGTCAAGTGGGTCATCAGTTTACAATTTACTATTTTTTCAAAAAGTTTAGACATTGTACAAAGTAAAGTTACAGGCCGATAATTTTTTATTAGAGATTTGTCATCTTTTTTATGGATAGGACAAACAACTCCTTCTTTCCATTTTGAAGGAAAAGTCTTGGAAGTGAGAATCGAATTAAAAAGTTTTGATAATGGAATGGCGAGGGAGTCACTTGCTAATTTTAACATTTCATTTGTGATTTGGTCATGTCCGGCTGATTTTCCACGTTTTAATTCCATACTTTCCACAATCATTTGTGGGGAAATTTCAAATTCTTGCGTATATAATTGAGTTCTGCTTGGAAAGGGCCTTTCCATCATAGTTATTTCATTGGAATATTTGGAAACAAAATGTTCGAGAAACAGGTTAGCCTTACCTAGGTTGCTATGTACTGGGGTATTTTTTTCGAGGTCAAACATTGCGGGGAAGGAATAGAGGAGTTTCTAAATGATTTTGAAATCTCGCTAATTCTCGTTTTTTCATGAGATTTTAAGAGATTTGCACATTTTACCTCTAATGACTTACTTTTCTTTCTTTTTGATACCATATTTGAATACAGTGATATGTTTCCAACAATAATAGCTTTGATTTACACATTTATGTCATTTAAATCATTCTCCATGACATTTAAAAAAACTTGGGCCAAATCTCCATTGATGTAATGCTAAAATTCTTCAAAACCATGGTTTAATCGTATGACAACCAACATTTTCATGTTTAATCACAATATGTTCATTGACAGGGTCATTTAATAGTATGCCATTCAAATTTCAGACAGATTTAACTAACACTCTTTGATAAATCATGAAATTAAGTGACTATTGCAAGCTTTTAGCATAGAACTCAATGGAAGGTTGGCCCAAGATGAACAAAGGTGACATCTATTATGTCAGCTTTATTCAGCTTTATTTAGCTATTTAGAAACTATACTATTGCAAAAACGTTTACCAAGGAGTTGTTTAATAAGCGACCAGTAAGATTTGGATGTAATTTCGGAACTGAGAACGCTTTCCGTAACATTATTGTCGACGTCAAGTTTTTTCTGTTTCACTAAATCGTTTACAACTAGCAATTGGGTTTTGTAAAGTTGATAATCAATTTCGTTTTTTGAAATTTTAAATTGTGCATATAGTCTTTTTCGAACATTAATTTCATGTTTAATTGTGTCATCAAACCAAGGTCTATCCGATTCTCTTTTCCTCCCGGTTTTATTTGGTATATGTTTCTGAAAAATGCTGAAAAGAATCTCAGTAAACTCGTTGACTTTTTGATCTATGTTTGCATTTCCTTCCGAAATATTTTGAAGGTGGGAGTTACAAATAGCTTCATTCAAAACAGTGCGATTAACTTTGTCATAATACCACTTAGTTCGCTTAGTTGACTGCTCCCTGGTTAGACCAGTAGTTAATCTCGTTAGAACACAACAATGATCTGAGTTACCGATAGGTGTGAGTACTTTAGTCACTTCGACTAGTTTCGGGGAATCACATATTGAAAGATCAATGCATGACATTGAAGACGGTCTTATTCTGGTAGGCTCGGTAACAAGCTGAGTAAGTCCAAAATTAGTTATGAGGTTATAAAGTTGAGTACCCGCTGTGTTATTAGCTGAATTGTGCTCGTTCCAGCTAAAGTGTTTGCTATTGTAATCGCCGTTTAAAAGAACAGCTGTAGGTTCTGTACCCTGCGTGCAGAGTCTAGTTAAACTACAGACGGAGCTCTCTTTTAAGAAGTGAAGTCAAACGAATGCAAAGGGTATATGTTCTGTAGGTTCTGATTAAGTGTAGGTATTTCTGTCGTTAATTCAAGTTGTCTAAATTAGGCTGTCCAGTATTTTGTATCCTCCAAACATTAAAATATTATCTTTGGTAAAAAATATTTTTAGATTGTTATTTTGAAAAATGAAAGTACTTAATGAAAGCGTTTAGATCATCATTATTCAATCCTTATTTAATTTGCATCCATTGCAATCTTTTTTTTATTATTTCACATGCAATATGAGCAACATGCCCGTAGCCAGCTTTTGGTAAGGGGGGGGGGGGGGTAAACATAAAGCTTGCTTGTTATCCACTCCTAATAAAAATATGAACTGTGACTTTACAAATGAACGATGGTGTCGATTTTACAAAGTGTCTTATTTGCAGGAGAAACACCGAATGTTCCCGATAATCAATCAACGACCCATGCGACCGTTACTCCAGACAACCCAGGTAACGATTTAAAGATATAATTTCCACAACATTTTGACAAATCCTGTGGATGCTAATTCCCAACGGACAATACAGTATATTATCCCTATATCATTTTGAGTTATTTCTGAATTATAACTCGTTTCCGTTATCTTATCCTATATTTAGAACTAAAACAAATACTAAATTAGTTATCATTTTTACAATCTACACTTTGGCCTCTCGAGAGCCTAAAACATTAGGGCAGCCATTTTGTACGAGACTGTTGGATCCCTGAATGATTCATTTAGTCACTTAGAATTTCGGTTCCCGTCTTCAGCAAATTGATGGCTCTCGTACATTCTCGTAGTCTCGAGATTTCATTGCATTTACTTATATCTTTTATGCTCCTGCTTACTACCCGTCTCAATATTTCTTCACCTCTTTGGCGATAGCGTTTTCGTCATTGGGGGAGTCTCGTGTTGATGCATATCTGAAAGAATTTGAGCCCAGATGTCCCACCCCGATTGTTATGTCCACTTCTACTTGCGCAAACACCACTGATTAATCTAATTTTCCAATTTGTTTTTCTATTATAGTCTATTATATCAGAATACACGTACTCGCTGATTTTCCGGTATTTGTAACTTTTTTTCCTCTGGCACATGAGCATACACAAAAAATATATCTGGAAATTTTAAATCAATCAATTTTATAGTAATGTAAAATTAAAACTGGCAATGCGATGGGAAAATGACAAAATGGTTTGTCCACGCGACGACTTATTACGACAATTATTGAATGAAAGATTAATACTTTCAATTTAGATCCCCAAATAGGAGACACAGAAGCCCTCGCAGCCAAATCCTGCTTGGAAATCTTACAAACTCGTACCACAACCCCTCCATCCGGACTGTATTGGATCGCAGTCACCCCAAGCTACACAACCAGGTTGTATTGTGACATGGTGACAGATGGGGGTGGCTTCACTCTTGTATGGACATTTACGTTCACGAAGTATGACATTCAAACAGGAGCCAATGATATCACTCCTAGACCTAGCTGGAAGTTGAACAAATTCATGCACTATTTAGATATTCAAGATGTCATTGTTCCTGTTTCAAACAAACCACCGACATCTGAAGATCAATTGGGAGCCTTGAAATTTAAATATTGGAAACTCATAGGGGGCAATGCCTTTATTGTAAAATCAAATTTTTTCAACTGGATATCCTGTAATGAGACAACGGGAAGCATCGTAGAGGAAGGGGTGTCGGGTTCAATCAAGTGTAACGTGATCAAATATTTATCAACCGAGTTACCACAATGTAGCACCGTCACACCTACTTCTCTGAACTGGTTTGAAAACAAGGGAAGTATTTGTGGCATGTACCTTATGAGATATAACTTAGCATATATGATGTTTGAGGTCAACAGCTTGAGTTGCTGGCCTATTTGGGATGCATGTGGGGAGGGTTCAAAAGCAAGACTTCTGAAAGATATCAGATCTCCACGTGCTAATGTGTATATACGTTGATAAACCTCTCTCTGTAAAATCAACCTTCATGAAGCAATTTAGTCTTTTTGTGATATTTTAACAAAAATCGACTCGGCATTCGTTTTTTGGAAAAGTGACCCCCCCCCCCCCCTTGGAAAATTCTGGCTACGGGCCTGACAAGTATTATATTATTATATAGTAATGTGTAGAAACTAAAAGAAACACTATTGAAATGTCGCGCATCCATGTTTTCGACAACCTGTATGTAAACAATAAACATAATATTATGTAGAATATAACATTAAATGGATTATCTTGCTTTCTTGAATTTAAGACGAAATTCCATTACTTTTGCTGTGTACATAAGATAATATACTGCTCTGTGTGATTCCACCAATCCTCACAAGGATCATCCCTAAAGGTAAAATCAGATGTCAAAGGCACCCTTGGTATACGCAGCTAACGAAAATTGACCGGTACGGGTCAAAAGCTGGACCGGTACGGGTTAACGGTTTTATTTGAATTTAAAGTAGCCATAACTTGCTCAATATTGACTTCCTCGTGTCTAATTTGAAATATATGATGCCTCCCGATGCTTTTAAGTACCCCAATTTTTTACAGATTTTTAAACGGACCAAAACTCTCTAAATGCGCATTTATGCTCTTTTCTCTCGAAAACGACTGTCTCATTTTCACGATAACTTTTATTTAGTACTTCTAACATATAAGATCTATTTTCCCCATCAAGGTATGATGTAAATGCTATTTACATCTTGTGAGTTTCAATGACGCACGTTTGATTTTATAAAAAATGCCAAACTTTGTGACAAAGAATTTCATCCTGCTTGCAGCGAGAAGACGGACCGGTTCGGGGCAATCTGCTTGCAGCAAGAAGACGGACCGGTTCGGGGCAATAGCTGAAAGGGGTAGAATTTGATAACACGAGTGAACTGAAAATGAATGTTTTTCAAAATATGTTAAAAACTGTTTATTGCCAAAGACATCTTGCATTTCGTGCAAACATCCCCCGTCACACCTATGTCCGACAGAGCCCTATGAACTGCACATTGAGCTTTAAATAATCCAATGGATAAATTGGTATTCATTCCATTGGACATATTCCAGTACTTATTCATTTCATTTTTATGTCACCACGAGAAGTCAAATGGTGACATATTCCTATAGTCTCCAAGTTTTTTTGTGGGCGGTGTTCAGGGGTTGGTGTTCACGGTCCGGCTTCTGTCGGTGTTTGTAACAAATGGTAGGTAGTGGCATTTTTTTATTATAGCGGCATTTATTCAATTAATAATATCCTCGTCATTGTTTAGTTTCATACGTCTGTGTCAATAACGATAAAGCATAAAATGTACTATTTGAATCATGATATTTACTTGCATAAATTGGAAATCATCATTAAATATTGTAATTGTGGTTTAGTAAATGTTGGTAGTGTTTATTGGAAATGTCTATTGACTCTTGGAAACTATGCATTTTATGTTTTTCAAGTAGTTTTCCACGTGCTCTATGCTGTCTGAGATATGAATCATATGTCATCCTCCGAACGCAGGCTAGTCGAGCTACAAGCACTTGTGCCCCCCCCCCTCCCTAACACCTCTCTGTGTGAGAAGGTGTTTAGTCTAGTAGGGGGGGGGTAACAGAGTCTTGGAGCTAGACTAAACACAGGCCTCCAGAACTCATACCGTGTTCTTCCAAGAATAGAAGCAGCAGGTAGGATGATGTTTCACGGGTGCACACTTCAGCTGTTTGAAGCAAAAATTGTGATATAGGTTTTCAAAGATTTATCTAAGGAATATGATGAAGTATTTCATGTTTGGTTTTATGTGCATGCTCTTTGCAAGATTTTAACTTTCTAATTATGTTAACAAATTCTCAAGCATAGCACGAGTTTTTTGTAAGTATTCCACCCACGTCCATGTGAATATAACCAACATTTTCCAACTGGTCAATTATGTGGGTGGAATTACCTTGAAAAAATCGAACACTGCTCGAGAATCTATTTACATAATTAGAAAGTTAAAGTCTTGCCAAGAGCATGCACATGAAATTCAACATGAATTACTCCATCATATCCCTTAGATAAATCGTTTAAAACCTACATAACATTTTTTGCTTCAAACATGACAACGTACAGCTAAAGTGTGCACCCGTAGATTTTGTCACTGTACGCTGTCGATGGTTTGGCGTGGTACAAAAGCCTCATTTGTTTTGTGTTTGCCATAATATCTGCATATAAAGGGAGATTGAATTGAATGCATGTTTTAGACACGTTGAGCTAAAACGTTTAGTCTTTCTATCATGGTATTTCCATGTGGTCCCTCGGAAAATATCATGTCGACAATTGTTAATATTCGGATCATTTGGTTTCGGAAGAATTGGATTTGGATGAAATCCTGACCTTTGGGATTCGGACCAATGGGATTCGGATCATTGGGATTCGGACCAATGGTTATCCTGTCCTATTTTATCAGAGAGGTCATGATTTCGAAACCAGAAAATGTAGCCATGTGAAATATTCAATTTTGAGGCGAGAAAATAATTTCGCATCCAATGGTTAACATGTATGATCTCAATCAATTGTTTCTACTGAATTTATGGTTCGGATAGATATGAAACAGAGTGATATATCCTCTGTATTTACCTACCAATAACTTTGTGGTCCCAGATGGAATAATTAAAACATATTATTAAGTCACGAGATACTTGCATGTAAACCTGAATGTAAATTGTTCAGACACATGCAGTAGACACTTCGGAGTAACAGTTAAAAAACAGAAATCCTTTGAATTGGAAACAACACATATGGGAACAAAATCAAGATGAGACTTGATCAAAGTTTTGCTATACTCTGGGTAGTATTTACATTTAGCTGTATAAAAGGTAAGTCGACTTATTTTTATAATACATGCTCAGTAAACACAGCATCGAGTAATTAGGCTAGTTATCCAGGCAGAGGGCACATGGGTAAGACAAAAAACACACTACAAAACAACAACAATCTAAAATCATAAAGATAACAAATCCCAAATATCCCAAACTATTTCTAAGACATTTCATTTTCTATGAAGTCAATATACCACGTTGAAGAACAAATTCAAAACATCTTTAACATTTGACACTTTAATGCGTGTATCAGCGTGAAAAACAAAATATTTCATTCCATTGGGTCATGCTTCGTATAAGAATAATAATATTGATTCATCATAACACAGAGATGAATGCTGGCAGTTGTGGCAACAGATTATCTAGGAGAAAGGACATAGATCATCTGAGGGAAACATTGCAGTTTGAGAATGATGAACAAAAAAGTGAGATATCTTCACTGGCTCAACAAGTTTCTGACATTAATGATAAATTATCTACCATTAAAGAGGACATTGGTGATATGAAGAGTGCTATGACTACATTAAAGAATGGGATGTCGCAACCGATGCTGAATTCATCAGGTAAAAGCTGGTCAAAGTTAAGCAGGGGCCAACCGGCAATCTTAGACTGTGGGTACTCCTTTTCATACCCTTACTTTGGGTAGCATGGTTATGTCCCGTAATCCGAATATTAACTTTAAGTCAAAAGTATTTTTCTCTGCTTTGGGGCGACTTCATTAAAATTTGCGTTGACGCAAGGAGGACATAGCACAAAAATGGAGATTTTTCTCCATTAAAGCTGAGCAATTTTAGAAAATAAAACCAAATTCCATTTTTTGGCAAAATAAAAGTTACATACAGTATTTCATGATGTTTTGATTAGAATAACTTTTAAAAGCTGTCTTGAATTAAGCATTTATCAAATTTACTTCGTTGCTTGGCTAATGCTATATGTTATTTGAAGCCAGGGTGATAATTCAAGACATTTTTGAAGTCAGGGTGATAATTCAAGACAATGTCCTGGAGCATGTCATAAGATACCCTATCAATGTCCTATTGTTAATGCCAGATATAACTATAGAAATGTCAAAAAGTGCATATTTTACTCAAAATAGCAGCCATTTTGAATTGACCGGCCATTTTTTAATTTCCTCAAGCGAAGGTCAAATATATAGACTGATAGAAAGGACCTTTGTTCGAGAAGCCAAGCTTATAAGGCATCGGCTTCAAATCAGATCGCTGGTAGTTGATTTATCAAAACACTCAATGTTTTACTCAAAATGGCGACCATTTTGAATTTGAGCGGTCATTTTAAAATAACTTCTTGAACAAAGGTCCTTTTCATCAGCCTATAAATTTGAACCTAATCCGAAAACCTGAACTTGAGTTATCACCTGGACAAACAAATGAACAGATACTAGTAGTCCTTGAAACATTTTGAGATGATGAGTCACACAAAGTCTTGCTCATTAATGTAAGTGGTGTACGATGAATGACATGAACACCTGGACACTGTGTATCCTAGGATGGAACTAGAAGTGCAAAGTTTGAAAATATTGTAGTTTTTCTCAAATTTTTGAATATCATTTCTTTTAGCAGAGATTACAGACTGCGGTGAAGATTCGTCTTACTCTGGAGTTCGAACCATCAAAACCACAGAAGGTAGACTCTTCAGTGCATATTGCGAGCAGGGGTGGACTTACATATTCAAGCGTTTTGATGGGAGTGTTGCTTTTAATCTGACGTGGTCTGAGTATAAAAAGGGCTTTGGGGAAACGAATGCTGAACACTTCATAGGGCTTGATAACCTCGCAAGTTTATTGAAACAAAGAAACTATGAAATTCGAATTGACTTAGCAACATGGCCCGAAACAAACGAAAATCCATCCACAAGATATGCTGAATATTCAGATTTCAAAGTAGCTGACGAGAGTGATAAATATCGCCTTACCATCGGGGGATATAGAGGAACGGCAAGAGATAGCATGGCTAGGCATAACGATACAGAGTTCACAACTTATGATCGAGATAATGATAAACTGAAAAATGCAAGCTGTGCGAAAAAATATAAAGGAGCTTGGTGGTATACCGAATGTCATGATTCCAACCTGTTTGGTCTGTACAGCCCCCAACCCAAGTGTTCAGGCTTTGGCGAATGTATGACTTGGAGACATTGGCCTGGAAAACTTCTTCCAAATAAGGACAATTATTGGTATTCATTCAAAAAAGCATCTATGAAGATTTATCGCAAATAGATTCTTAATTTGAAATATATTTTATTTGTGCCAATTTAACAACAAGGACTTAAAACTCATTTTTGAGAAAAATAAAGTATACAGGCATGTAAAACATGAACAATATTAAACCTAATGTTTCTAGTGAATACATAGTCCAGGTAGATATATAACTGAGTGATACATCATCTGTATTTACCTTAACAATTTTGTTGTCCCAGATGGAATAATTATAAAACACATTACATAGTCGCGAGATACTTGCAAGTAAAGTTTACGTAAACGGCCCAGACATTTGCAGCAGACACATCGGAGCAACGGCTAAAACAAATCCTTTTGAATCAGAAACAGCACATAAGGGAACAGAAGCAAGATGAGACTTGATCAAATCATCATGGCAGTATTTATATTTAGCTTTGTAAAGGGTAAGTCGACATCAATATATAATCATAGGATTATTACTGGGGGGCAATGATATGTTTCCTAGTGATAATTCGTTAACACATTCGGTGTCTTTGTAAATTACATATTGCCACACGGTATACAAACGATATTCAATCCCTCCCAGCAAATACTCTACAAGTAACATATACATGTATATTTTATTACCCTTGGTCTCTGCTATGTATTTGGCTATCAAAAACTAGTCTTCATTCGTACTCGGAGTTTTTATGAGCAATGCCGAACATTTCAAAATCGGAGAGGTTTTATTGTACTCTTTATTTTACTTTTTGCTTTTTTCACCCACACTCGAAGTGAATATAAAATAGTACATACCATTATACAAATTAGTCAATTCTTTACTACCAATAATCTTCATCAATTTACCTAGTTTAATTGGTTGTTAATGACCTAGTCAGTTGTATTTAGTACATACATGTAAGTTAAGCTCTCTGACCTTTGTCTTTTATGTATCTCCCTGTCTCTATAGGAAAATTATGATTAGATGTGCTAAGCTTTGTTATGTATAACCTAGTGCTAATTGGACGACTTAAATAGGATTCAAAAATAAATTTATCGTTTAGGTTACAATATGTAATATTTATCACAACGGTATTTGTTTTTGATTTGGTTTTTAAATATATTGTACAATTCAATACAGTAGTTACTTAGTAAAATATTTATTAAAGTCTCACACTGTAGTTAACAATATACATACTAAAATATCATACAATAATTAACAGTCCCGCCGGCTTCGGCGTATGAGAGGCTCAATACAAATACAATTCAACATTATCAACACTCGACACGTGTGTCAGTGTGAAAACCAAAATATTTATTCTGAGTCGCCCTCACATGGAAATAAATTTCATATTCTTCTAGATATTAATGCCGGGAACAGATGCTCTTGTAAAAATGACATAGATCATCTGAGGGAAACATTGCAGTTTGGAAATGATGAACAAAAGAGCATGATATCTTCTCTGACGCAACAATCAACGATGACATCAATGATATGAAGAGTGATATGACTACATTAAAGGATGGGATGTCTCAAATGCAATTGATACGTAAGTGTTGGTCATAAAAGTACATGCCTTTTCCTGTGGTGAGCTAAGAAAATCCCGTCTTGTTAAATCTCAGTATCAATTAAGGAACCCTTTTCCTTTCAATTAGTAAACATGACTTGCCTGCTTGTCAAAATATAAGATGTCATTATATTTTCAACACCCTGATTCTAGCCTATTGTAAGTGTTGGTCATAAAAGTACATGCCCTTTCCTGTGGTGAGCGAAGCAAATCCCGTCTTGTTAAATCTCAGTATCAATTATTACATATTAGGATACGGCGACATTGAGGTGACCTATATTTTACTGCAAATTTTATACGACCATCGTAAGTATTTCTCGATTCAGGGGACTACTGCCGCTCTGCACTCAGCGTAGTCGATCCGATACTTTCAAAAAATATTGTTGTTGATTGTTCACTTTTGCACAATCCAGGTCCATATATTGGAGACACGAAATTACATGCAGGTGAATCTTGCTTGGAAATCTTGCAAAAACGACCAACTCCTCCCTCCGGGCTGTATTGGATCGCAGTCACCCCAAGCTACACAACCAGGTTGTATTGTAACATGGTGACAGATGGGGGTGGATTCACACTTGTATGGACATTTACGTTCACGAATTAATAGCCACTTTGCAAATGACAGCAATGACATAACTCCCAGGCCAGACTGGAATTTAACAGAATTTATGTTCTCTGGTGAATTTTCAAATGTCAAGGTTCCTGTGTCAACAACTCCACCAGAATCAGAAGAACAGTTGGGAGCCCTTGAATTCAAGTATTGGAAGCTTATGGGAGACAATGAATTCATGCATGATAAAATCAAACATTATCAACTGGCTATCCTGCAATCAGACTGGAGGAAGTATTATGGAAGAAGGTGAAGATGGTCCTATCAAATGTAAGGTGATCAAGGTTGTTTCAACTGACTACCCACAATGTCAATATGTCACGCCCACAGAGGTGGCCTGGAACAATTGTGGCTTTTTGAGAAGACGTCCTGGGTACTTTCATTATTATATTCAGTTTGATATCAAAAGTGACGATTGCGATCCAACTTGGGATCCATGTGGTGAAGGATCAAATTTGAGATATATAAAAGGCGTCCACTTCCCACATGGAAATGTTTACATACGTTGATAGCATATAAGTTTTCCAAATATACTATTTATTTCAAAAATCTTATCCTTACAGTTAGTTCTCCCATGCAAAATATTCACTATGCCTGATAATTTTGTCTAAATCTGAAATTTCCTTTTTACCTGAAGCCAATGTTATTTGAATAATAATTTTGATTAGAAATGTTCGTCTGGGGTGTATGTTTCTTAGAAAAGGGCCAAGTGAAAGTAGCATTATCCTATGCCAAGTAGAGTTTTAGGGAGATAAGTTGGAAAGATATATCCCGTATCCTGATTTTGAGGTTTCCATATCCAGAACCTCAATATCTCCCGCTTCGGTGCATATCTTCCCGCTTGAGGTAAATGCAATAAAATGACTTTGCATTTGAAATGGACATATGCCCCTGAAAACTCTACTTGGTATAGAATAAAGCAGTTATGTGTACGGTCGGTTTTGGATATTGGGTTCATCCCTCGTGAGATATGCACATCTACCTTCGGTCCCTCGGGCAGATATGCATATCTCCCTCTGGATAAACCCCATATACAAAACCTCCCAGTACATAACCCTTATTTATCTGATTATAAGTCCATATATGGGCCCTTTAAAATACTAATATCTGAAATAAATGTCTTGCAATCTCCACCTTAAATAAATTATCAAAGATATAGAAAACAAAATAACATGTTTTTAGTAATAATTTATTATTTCACAAGTGTTTATTTGATTGTGTTGCATTCCAATAATTCAAAAGCACATTCTGCACAATGTGATTGTGCAACACTAATGAGTGTGCTCTTGACAGCACATGATTGTGCTGGGGTTTTCAAATCCATTTTATAACTTTTTATGTTGTGCACCTCATTAAATTGGTTTCACATTATGAGAAAATAGCCATAATGATGATTCCTTTTTAGGCATTTATCTTTTATTTCTATATAATTTAGAGTAACAAATCCAAGACTTTTGTCTTTATTACTTGCCGATTCCATTCAGTTCCTTTCTCCTATAAGTTCCAAAACATCATGGCATTTTCTTATGGGTAGAAACACTTCAAATCAAATAAATGCCAGTTTACAAAACTGATCTTAATCATTGCTCGTGCGAACTTTCAATTTTTCAACACTAATTCCCAAATTTATAGACTTTCGTTCCTGTCTGTATACAACATCACTGTGTACATGTAACTTCAGTAAAATAATTACTTTTTTATGCAAAGAACACATGAGAATCTCTTCAGTGGCATCAGAAGCCAAACATTGCAGTGCCCATATACAGAACAGTACAGTATAATATAGTACAGTACTGATCAGTACATTACAGTATAGACTAGTACGGCACAATAAACGGACTCCCAAAAATAACATAGGGCGGGAGGTTTATCTTTATCTGTACTGTATTTTTTTCATAGTTTTGGACAAGCATACAATGGGACACATATGGGAAATCTACACATACAGACAAGAAAGACTTCCCAAAAATAACACAGGGAAAGGGAGGTCGTGTTTTGTCTGTATTGTAATTTCCAACAATACAATGGTGCATATACAAGTAATCAGCAATTCAATGCTGAATTTAGTTGAACAGTTAGTACTTTTTACATAAATGACAAAATATTAACATCTGTCCTTAAGGTGGTCAGAATGGGATGATTCTGGGAGCTAATTGTGTGTTAAAAACAAGATAATTAACTCCAATCTAGCCACCTTAAGTTTCCATGATTTAGTGAATAATGTTATATACAATGGTTTACTATCATTTATACATTATATTAAATAGTGCACAAACTCTAAATCATGATTTTCCATTTTGTGTACAAAGCTCTTAAAAAGTAAAGCAAGGTTTATATATTTACAATACACGAGTACAACAGATATATTTTTTCATTAAAGTGATTCCTGTAACAAAATCTATACACTCAGTATAGGCACTATCCTAAAACATTTTCCGAAGAACATGGTAATCTACAATCACACTTGCAATAAATAAGAGAAAAATAACCTGGTAATAATGAAACAGAAATATTTCATAAAAATCTCTAGATAATTGACTAAATCTTTGTTTACTATTAACTACATTCCTCATGGATTTCACTCTTTACTACTCATAAATGTTTTTTGTATTGTTTTTTGCACTGTCCACTGTGAAATTATGCTTATTTGGTTAAACTGTTGTCACAAGACAATTTCGTTTCTTTTCATCTGAATCTATACTTTCATCACTTTTGTTACTGTTTAAGTAAGATCTTCTACGTCTTGCAATCAGCATTTCAGTTTTAGTCATCTCTCTTTTTAAACCCTTTTCACTATCAGATCCTTCATTAACGTCCGTATCTATTTTCTCTGTTTTTTTATTGGAGGGTTTTTGTATAGATGAAGATTTTTGTGTTGGTAATGTTTTAGTCGTCTTTTGAGTTGGAGTGTAATTATATGGCTGAACTACTGCAGATGGAGATACTTTGTTTGTGATTTCAGCCTTAGTTGGGCTAGTGACTGTCGTACTACTAGTGGTAGTTACTGGTCCATTGTTTAAGCCACCATTTACGGTGATACAGTTTTTGACATTTACCACAACATCAACATGCTGCATCGGCCTTGCTGTAGAATCGGGAGCATCCGGCATCGCTGTGTCATCAGGAACAGTGTATGTTAACCGTCTCTTAGCAACATCCTCAGTGTCCAATAATGTCTGTTTAGTGTTGTTATCCATGGTCCTGGGGGGTGCACTAGACCTTAGCCTGCTGCTGGTCCTTGGTGGTGGGGGTGGGGGGTTACTCCCACGTTTTACCCAGATTTGTCCACTCTTCCTCATGGGCTTCTCACTCCCTGAACTATCACTATCGCTTCCTTGGAGGTCTACAGCTCGTCTAAATGCTCCAACAGGTTTCTTAATGCCACTTGTGGGTTTTGGTGTACAATCCGAGTCACTGTCACTGACATTATTAGGTGCCTTTCTCCAGCCACCACTGGCCTTAGGTTGGGTCACTTCAGGCTCTTTCTCTGGACTGAGTTTATCATAGGTAGAGCTCCTCTTTATTCCTTCACTAGGGGCATCAACTGGGGAGCTCTTCTGTACTGGAGATACAGCAGAGCTCTTCCTTGGTGGAGTTAATGGTTTCACCTTATTGGCTGGGAGGTTTACCTTAGTAGGTGGGGCCACTTTTCTGATTTGTTTTGGCGATTTAGAGCCTATTTTACTCTGGGTTGTATTTTGAATTTTCACCTCTGGTTTCTGGGATTTAGTTGGGGTTGGTGGTTTACCACTTGGGGATGCTGTCCTGCTATTATTAGCAACTGGGACAACACTCTTGCCATCTTCACGCTTCCAGAGTCCAGATATTTTACTTGTGACAGGTTTCTTAGCTCCTGGTTTGGTTGGGGTCGTAGATGGCGTTGATGCTATACTTGTATTGGAGCCTCTTCTTGGTGAAGCTGGTGTAGTTTTACTTGGACCAGCTGCTTTCTTAAGGCTTGTATTACTCTCCGACTTTTGCAGGTTTGATTTGGCACCATTTCTTAATGCTGAGGTCTTTGTCTCCCTTGGGCTTATCAATGGTTTGTTCACTGATCCATTACTTCCATTGCGACTACTGAGAGAACCATCGCTGCCACGTTTAGCTATGGATGTCCCGCTTGTTGTTTTTGTTAGGTTACCTCCACTTGATGTCTTCGATATTGAGCTCCCGGGGCTATTTTTTGTTAAATTACTCCCACTTGATGTCTTCCTTAAATTCCCTGCACTAGTTGAAGTTTTTGACACCGCACTTCCAGTGTTAGTTTTGTTCAGATTGCTTCCACTTGGTGTCTTGGGTATACCGGACCCAGGACTACCTTTGGAGAGTGAGCCACCACTGGAAGTCTTCTTCAGATTAGTCACTCCAGAGGTCTTGGAAGCTGCGCTTTTAGCGGATAAAGATGATCCGCTTGATGTCTTGGTTACGGTCGCTCCTGATTTTGACAAACTGTTCCCACTTGCTGTTTTTGTAAGATTTGTACCAGGGGTAACTTTAGTGGTTTGTTTAGTTGGTTTATTTAAATCATTCATAGTTTTATTTGATTCATTACTGACTTGTTTCTTAAGAGCGGGTGGGGCATCTGAGGCATGACGCTTCATTTGGATTTGCTTATAAGGGGCGTCATAGCCCTGCTGTTGCGAGGTATCTACCACAAAGTGAAAGTTCCCCTCCAGGGTGTTAGTCCAGGAAGTTGGAGGAGTGAACTTATCCCCGCTAGATGTAGACCCACTGCTATTCCTTGGGGAGCTAGAACTATGTCTGACAGACCCGCTGCTACCATGTGATCCCCCGCTAAGTCGTTTCTTTCTCAAGATTACCCCTGGGATAGACAGATCTGTGAGGTCATCATCATCTTGGTTGAATGAATATTCAGTAGCGTCATTATCCACATCTAGACTGAATCGTACACTTTCATCATCACACTCTGACTCTGCAGATCTATTGGATGATATGGTAGGGAGAGCAGAATTGGTTGATGCTGTATCTTTGGTAAATGTGCCTTGTTTAATGGGAGGTTTTGGTCTGTCGGATGGGTCACTCTGTTTGGAGTTCACAGGTTTGACATCAGGAGTGGCAGTAGGTTTTTGAGTTGTGACTTTGGACTTCTGTGTCCCTTTAGGACCATTCTTGGTGTATGTACCATAGTTTGTTGGCTGGGTATTATTAGTTCCTTTGGGAGGGGATGGAGTACCTTTTGCAGGGGCAGAAGGTCCCTTTGTAGGGGTAGACATTCCTTTAGATGTTCCTGCATTTCCTTTCAGAGGCGTTGATTTTCCATTTTGTGATGTCTTACTTGCAATTGGCTTTCTTGGTGTAACAGCTTTAGGTCCATTGGTTGTAGGTTTGTTACCTCCCCTAACAGGTGTCACAGGTTTCTGATTTTTACTTGTGAGACTAACTGAACTCTTTGAAGATACTGACGACTTTACACTTGAGGCAGATGAAAATGACTTCACTCCCCTGTAGTTCTTCTTTGCTCCTCTGATTCCTTTCTGTTCCTCCGCTGCTTTCCTTTCAATATATTCCTTATCAGTTGGCTTTATAATCCTTGGTCTGGGTCTTGCAGTGGAGGGTTGTGCCACTGTGGATGTGACGTCACTAGCTGTGGTGGTTTCAGATAGAGTCTTAGAGCTTGCTGAGAGACTGAGGGAGATCTCTGAGGCATTATCATCTGTGAAGTCATTGGACACAAGTGATAATGTCTCATTGTCAATAAATAAGTCGTCATTGACACTTCCTTCAAGATGCTGGGTGGTTAACTCAGACAGCACCAAGTTGGCATTTTCCTCGAGGAGGCGTTCATCTTCTACAGACAAGTCATGTGGTTCGATATGGGGGACTTCTATTGGTTGGTCTATTGACGTAGTGTTTGTGACATCATCAAAAGGGAGCTTTTCTGATTGGTCGGTGGTTGTGACATCATCTTGGGAAAGTTTCTCTGATTGGTCATCCTTTGAAGAGTCTGTATCGGGGTGTGCTGGGATTATTGATCCTCCACTGTTGGCCATAGGGAAGTCATCTGGAAATGTCTCCTGCATTATATCATCCATATCTATAATCTCAATAGAGTCCAGTGTGTCATTGATATCAACCTCATCTTCTAGTACAATCCCATCTGGATCATCTGGTGAATCAAGAGATATCTTTGTCCTGCTATCACATATAATATTCTTCCCTCTATCCTGAAATGGACTTTTGTCCTGAAATGGGCCCAAACCAAGAGGTTCTGAATTATCTTCGGGGTCAGGATCCTGTAGTGGGCAGAACACTTCAGGCTGGAATTGCTGTATACTTCTATCAGCATCTCTTAATGCTTCAATGGCATCATCATGTTCAGGTTTGTCATGTTCACTTTCATCGCTATCATTTTCTTTACAACTGTCCATCTTTTCAGTCCCACTCTCGTGTCCTGCATCATTAAGGTGCATTTCAGAGAGTTTGTTATCGGGGTATTGTAAAGTTTCATGTGTTTTTGTACTACAACTAGGTGACGATTTGTTGGAGTCTATCTGAGCTAGGGTTGCAGACACATTTGCAACAGTTATCACATTATTCACCAGATGGAGCTCCGGCATTTTCTTCCAGATCATCGCTGTCGATTCTTGAGCTTTCTCTTGATTGGTTGCTTCTTTTCTTTGTTTTAAATCGCCATCCTGGGACCGAGTTCGGCGCCAGCTTGACGTATTACCCTCAGCAGTATTTTTTGAGACACGAAAGTCCTCTGACGATTTATGTGGCATTTTCCGCCAGGAACTTAGGTTTGCATTAGTGTCCGTCTGCATCATTGGGTTAAAGCAGTTTAACGACTCATCTCTATTGTTATCTGCATTGTTATTGGCTCTTGAGCTAGGATTCGTAATATGATTGTTGTTACTGCCTGTTGGTATCACATTACTGTTAGAGTCTGAGATTTGACGTGACGCAGATCTCGATTGAGGATTTCGAGATCTATGACTAACATTTGGCTTAGCAGCTGGTTGAGGTGGTTGTTTGAATGGTTGAGATGGTTGCTTCACTGGCTGAGATGATTGCTTTGTTGGTTGAGGCTGTTGGTTTATTGGCTGAGATGGCTGCTTTGGTGGTAATGTCTTAACAGCTGGCTTACTTTTTGTAGACTTTCCGGGAGGTGTTTTGGTTTTAGTTGCACTTGCTCCAGGGCTTGTTTTTGATTTTGACTTTGATTTATCGACTTTACTGGGAGTCTTCTTTGGCATAGCTGAGTTGATGCATTCATCCAGGAGGGCCTGTTCAGACGCGCTTGGTTCTGAATCAACACTATTTATACTGAGTGAGCTAAGAGAACTGTTTCTTGAGAAGCTGAGTGGAGTGTCTTCAAGTACAAAAGACTCATTATCATCTTTCACTGGTATACCTTCAGGGGATTTAGCCTTAGCAACCATGTCTTCACTGTTTAGTGAACTCAGGGAGGAATTCCTAGAGAAGCACATAGGGGTCCCTTCTACTTCATAGTTCTTTGAAATGTCATCCCCAGAGATTTTCCGAGCGGCGGCTATGTCTTTGGCAACATTTGGAGGCATATCTGATTTGGTCTTGCTAGATGAAGGGATAGGGGGTTTAGATAGGATTGCTTTAGAATGGGGTGTCGATCCACCACTGCTCCCTTCAACCTGTCTTGGAGATTGAGGAATTGATAGTTTCTTTAAAGGACCTTGTTTCCGTGGGGTCATTTTATGTCGATTAACAGAGCCAGTTTCAGCATCATCCTCACAGTCTAAAGAACTTAGGGAATCATTGCGTGAGAATGAAAAAGGAGTCCCCTCAACACCATACACCTTTGGGGAGTCATAACAAGAACTGACTCCCAAAAAGACATCATCTTCTTGTGGGATGGATCCGAAAGTGGCGGCCGTGCTATGCATGTTTGGCTCAGTTGAGGGGTGATCCGAAGTACTGAATGGCTCTCCGTAAGACTTGGAGTTATAATCATCAACTGTTAGGTTACTCAAGGAGGTTGCTGTTGAAAGATTAGCAGGGGTTCCCTCCACTGCATATGTCCTAACTGAATCACTGGCTCCTATATGAGCATCAGACCTCTCACTTGATGTCCTTAGTGGTTGGAAACCTTTCTTGAAAACGGAGCCATGTTGCTGCTTAGTCGCAAGATTTTTAGATTCATTTGCTTCAGTTTTCTCCTGAGTTGATCCATGTGATTTCTTCTTGATACTTTTAGGCATTGCTGAGTCAATTAATTCAGATAGGAGATCCTCATCATCATCCAGAGAACTCATATCAGAAGGATCTCCTTTATGTGAATCTTCAGCATCATTATTTTTAACATGTTCAGCTAGAGCTCTTTCATCATCGTTCTTCATACTATCACCGCCATCTGGAGTGAAACTGAGGTCACTGAGAGAGGTTGCTGTGGAGAAATTATGAGGTGTGTCTTCAACTGCGAAATTCTTCAATGTGTCACCAGAGCTATCACCATGGCTACTGATGTTAGATGGCACATGTCCAGGGTTGAAGTTATGGCTGGGGTGAACCATATGTGGTTCAGGATTTTTGAACCTCATTGTATCGGGTTTGCTGTTCACTATGTTCTGTTGGGGCTGTATTTGTTGTTGCCTCATGGCGGGGGCCTCCACAGGGGGTACCAGCTCTGTGGGTGACTGGCTACCAGATAAATGCAATGGGGTGCCTTCTTCAGCAAATGTCTGGATTTCATCAATCGAACCCCATGGATCTGGAATGGGTTTTATAGGGTATTTGCCGGCAGGAAAGTTAGGAGGCAGTTTTGATCTTGGGGATAATGATCCTGAGGCACTTCTACGTACACCATGGATTTTACTTCCGAATCCAGACCTCTGTGGATTTCCCCGTGTTTTCTTGATGCTGTGATCAGAATGAGACTTCCTCATCTTGCTTTTAGATGATTTACTTGGCATTGCAGATGATATACATGCGGCTAGAATATCCTCATCACCATCAGAGACTTCAGACACAGAGGATCCCTCATCCAGATCATTTGGCTTACTAGTGTCCGTATCTTCTTTGGTAACAGTACCATACACAGGCTCAAAGGGTTTATCGTCTTTAGGTTTTGGTGTAGCCTGTTCCATTTTGAACATATCTCCCCTCTCTCCAGTAAGAGGAATTGTTGCCAAATCATTGTCCTTTTGAATCTTTGGTTCATCATCGTCAAATGATAATGCACTGAGACTTGATGTCGTTGAGAAATGTTGAGGATCTCTTGTGAATTTTTCAGGTTCTATTCCACGAGACTGATTAACATTTGGTTTAAGAGGGGGATGGAGTGGTGGGCCCATTTTCGTTGGTGATAATGACTGGGCCTCCCTCTGGTGTGGGTTGACTACAGGGGTGGCGACATCTTTATTTGGACTATTTCCAAGTTCTGGGAATTTCACGGGTGATTTGCTCCTCTTTGGTGTGTTAGGGACTGTATCGCTAGGAGAGTCAGGAAGGTCACTAGGGGAGACTACTTCACTGGCTCTTCTACTATATTCACTGATCACAGAACTATGTACTGAATGGGCATCAAAACTGCTTAAAGAGCCAAGTGAACTGCATCGTGAGAACATCATGGGTGTCTCCTGAATATTATTATGCTCATCAAACGTAACACTTTTTGCTGGGCCTGAAGCAGTGCTCTCAGCTCCTTGGGATATATTAGCTGGATTTTCACCCTGGGACCGGTTGTGTCTGTCTGTTGTGTCAATTATCTTGCCCTCAGCTATGCTCTGTAAGGCTGGATCATGTGGAGGTTTAGAATTGCCCCTATCCTGGGCTTCACTGCTATGGAGGCTACTTAGCGAGCTGACTCTCGAGAAACACAATGGGGTACCCTCCTCAGCATAAGTCTTTGGTTTCTCTGGTGGAAGCATATCATTTGTGTCAATATACGAGCGCATATTCATAGGGGGAGCATTCTCCATTTCCGTGGGTTCTTGAACACTACGTGGCGGTTGAGGTTTTGCAACGTGGATGACTGTAGATCTAGAATGCTCGCAAGTGCTGTGGCTACCATTCGTGCTCCTGTCCTCACTCTCTGGGTATTTATTTGCATAATTCTGAGGCTGTTCATCAGATGGTGGACTGTTAGAGTCATCCCCACCGTGGTCGTCACCATGCTTGTGTTTGCTAAGATCCGTCAATGACGTGGCAGTTGAAAGGTATGGAGTATCCTCTGTATAAAATGCCTTAACTTGATCATCACAGATGTGTTCATCTATAATGTCATTAGTCCTTCGAGCCATATGTAATTTACAATCCGCACAGTTTTCGTTATCTCTGTATCGTGTACTATAGTTGATAGGCTGTTCTGTGAATTGCACTTCCTCATCCTCTTCCGTATATCGCATACCATAATTTGTTGGTTGATCAACACTATCAAGATCAGTTTCTGCGTAACCATGGTTTTGTCTTGTAGGTTTGGTTTGTTTGCCTTGAGGGGCATTAGAGTTCTTTTGTTGGCCACTGTTATATGCCAAACCTGCCACGTAGTTACCAACTTTTGGTGGTAAAGGTCTTTTAAAATTGTCTTGTTTTTGATTATCTGAGTATTTTAGGCTATAGTTAATAGGCTGCTCTTGATCGGCATCTGTTAGTTTGAGGTTTTCTACCTTTTGAGGTAGATTTGAAAATTGTGATTTCTGGTAATTAGCGATGTTATTCAGTCTATTTTCACCTCCAAACTGTCGATGGTTGATGACAGGAGAGGCGTGTGCACTATTAGTTCCTTTATACGCAGGATCTGGTTGTTGTCGGTTATAAACAGGTATGCTTCGTCCTCTTCCCATTGGACGAACTTGGGTCTTTGGTGATGCTGGGGCACTGGCTGTTGTATGAGGTTCTCTTCCTCCCTTATCGGTTGTTTCTGCATGCATTACAACTTCTTGCATTATTTGCATGATGCGACTATTCGGTGCTAAAATGTTGGATTTCGGATCAATGGGGGAACTTGAGCCTCTAAAATTGTCATTATTTCTTTGGGAAAGTTTACGTTCAGGGGTGGTGGGTTTATCCTGTGACAGTTTTGACTTGGTTAATATGTTCGATACACGCACCCTGTCATGCGAAATGTCTGAATGGGTGCTTCCTACACTATCCTGGGATCCAGTTCTTGCGACAGGTCTCTGAGGGGAACGCAACCGATTGTCTAAAAGTGGTGAATTTTCCCCACTACTTCCCCTGGAATATATCGGACTTCGTAATAAAGGTCTCCGATGCTCTGAGTCAGCGACCTGGTACATTCCACAGCTATCTCCCTGATACATGAATCGGTTGTTAGGAGGGGGGTGTTTGCGAACTTCCTGTGGGCTATCCCTCGGGCTTTCAATATTGTCACAAGTCTCCGACAAATTCTGATCTAACTCAGACTCTAATTGTTTGTATTTCCTGACTGTTAAAGATGGCATGTTAGATCTACTATGTTTATCGCCATCTATATTACCCACGGCAGGCTTAGCACCAAGGAGGTTTTTCAATGCAGCCGCACTTCCCATAGAGATCATTTTATGTTTGGAATGGACCAAATTCCTGAGCATGCTCACTGCTCCCATTTCCCATAATGCTTGCTGGTCCTCAGTACAACGTGCCGATAAGTTCCAAAGTGTCCCGCAAGCATTGCTCACAATCGTTAAACTTGGTGAGCGTAAATGTTTTAGCAATATATGCATACATCCTTGTGTGCGTAAGATTTTTCTATAGTCCTCTCGTACAGCTATATGACTAGAAACATTGCGTAACATCCCTCCGCCATTTTCTATAATAGCTAGTGTCTTAGATGGGCTCTTATAAGTCAATGTGCTCACAAGGAATGCGAGCGCACCATCAACAGCGCAAATATCTGCTTTATTCTCACTGCAGTGTGCAGAAAGATTCCATAGGGCACTTAATACACTTTTTAAAGTTGATTCTTTCTGAACCTCCAATGCCGCCTTCATTAGTGCTGTGACGGCACCTACTTCACGTAAAGTCTTTTTACTCGCTAAATCTGCTCGCCATGATAAATTCCTTAAGACACTTGCTGCAACTTGGCGTAAATCCTCATTCGGGGATTCCAATTGTGCAACAAGGGCGTGCATGCACAATTTCATTGAACACAATAAGGCTTTGTTCGTGCCATCACCGAATGTTAGATTAGTTAGAGCCATACAGGCGTAGCGTCGCATTGTGATGTTGTACTGCTCAGTTGTGCTATGATGTGCCTCATGATCAACATACAGGAGTTCCGCTATTGCTTGGAGACCCCCTGGAAAATAAAATAACATCATAATTCTTCAACGAATAAATTAAATGAACTGAAATTAATTGTAAAGCTGTTTAAAGTTAATGCAATACAGGCAATAATTTTAACTTTGATAACTTTTGAAATTATTGAATTAAATTTTTCATTATAAATAATATTTTTTTAAATTGTACACTGAATCCTATTAATCCTATTGTGCTGAATGATAATTTATCAATTAAAAGTCTCCAACCTCAAACAACCTAATTGAATAAGAATAAAATAGAGTATTGAGAAGAAATTTTTCACATCTCCCATGTAATGAGCAAAGATGTTAAAATGTATATACATGACCATAAAAGGTTAAGACGTATCTGTGCACATATACATGACCAAATAAGGACATACCTAGAGTACATATTGCATGTCGATGCTCCTCATCAAAAGACAGCTTCATTAGAGCAGCGATTGCAGGCCCTGGGTGATGATCAATGTCTGCAGATCGGGCTGGAAATACACAACGTAAAAATTTATTTGATTATTCATATTTTTCATACTGTACTGAGAAGTATCTTTAAGGACATTATTCAAGTCCTTTTTGTAAACTCTACACATCTACAGGTGATAAGGAAAATATATTTTTAAAAATTCATGTGAGACCAGGTGTATATGAGTGTATTACAGAATAAAGGAGTAATGAATCAGATCACTCCCCCCATAACATAAGATTTGAGTAGTTGATACAAGTCTTAAAGGAGAGGGATAATAATATATGTGAATGTCATTGAGATCTGATTAAGCATTTTCAAAGTAATCAGTAGTGTTTATGTAAAGATATTTTATGTTTTTATGATTTCTTGGGTTTGTGTACTGGACTTGTGCAATAAACAAGCATTTAAAAAGTGAGCATTGACTTGAATGCTACTTCCTCTGCCGATGAAAAGGCATATACACTCGGGAATGAAATGGTCATGTTTTGAAATGTTTATAAGAATGGAATAAACAGAATAACCAAGGAAAAGAAGTTAACAGATATATACGCAATTACTTAAATTATTAAAAAATGAAAGAAAATCAGACACTTCAATCAAATTTTAGAGAAAAACAGTGTGAAATAGGCATGCACAGATGACAATTTAGAACTTTGGTATGAAGGTGTTTTATTTTTATTCCTCGCTAATTTCACTCTTTTGTACTCTTTTTTCCAAATCAAAACATGACTCACTTGGTGTTTCTCATATAAGGAGACAACAACTATTGTATATTATTTTCTGTTTTGGTGGCATCAGTAACACCTTGGGTTAAGTTATTTTTGTTGAAGCTTACAACTGTTCTATTTCCTCACTCCTTGTGCAACAGATGTTCTCGTCTCATATCCCAATGATAATAACTCGAGGGGTCATGTTTTAAAAGCCAAAATAGAGTGGTAAATAATGAAATTAGCAAGAAATAGAGTAAACGGACATGAAGTCCAGACTCTAAATTGTATTGAAATTTAAGAAAACGAGACTGTTCATTCAAATTTTAGAGAGAAAAAATATGGAACAAATGTGAATGGAGAGATAATTTTAGCAGACGGAGAATTGGTATATATAGCTCAGGTAAGGATGCCCTTGCAAAAAACATCTACCTGTGCATTGCATTTCATCCATTTTTCTCAAAATTATAATTAATGAAGCATCTTCTCTAAAAATTGAGAGCTGAATTCATGTCTGTTTAGTAGAATCCTTGGATATTACTTTTTACATTATATTCGATAAGGCAAAGCATGAAATAATTGACATTTTATAAAGTTGAGATGACATGTCATTGAATCATCAGCTAAAATAATGCAATTTCAAAATGTCACCATTTATTCTGTCAGTTTTACCATTTTGTATTATTAGAACAATTGCTAACAAATTGCAAAACTTTATTAATTATAATTACTAGCTTAGCAAAATTAGTATTAGAACAATTACATGCAAGTTTATGTCTATTTCAGAAAGAACTGTTTTAATTTAAAATGAAAAATTATAATGCAGTAATTGATATGCTGCAATTTCAGTTATATACTTATAATAGTCCTCTTGCAAGATGCAGTCTATCATAGTTAAAAGTATGTTGAATTTTTTAGATGAAAATGACAAAGTAACATGTTCAAGATACAAATACATGCTTGCGTAGCTTGCTATGAGGCAGGGGAGGCAACTGTCGCACCCACGACTTTTGGCTTGATTTTGCCTCACCAATTTATATTTAATTTAATTTGCCTCATCAATTGATGGATCTTGGCTATGCCCCTGTTAGTTCAGATCACATGCAAACCACATTAAAAAACTCATCCTTGACCAAGATTTGTTTCAACAGGTGACTATGTATGTTATAGCTCAAGATTCTGGGTTAATAGTTCCACAAGGCATGCTGATGCGATGAAAGGCTGACATGGGATGGGTTTAACTACACATAACACCTAGCAAATGGTTTTATAATTAGGTGAATGGTTTCTGATTTACAAAATGCTTAACAACAGTGATGTTCAATTTTTAGCATATGATCAAAAAGTTGAATTTTTATAATGAAATTTTGAGTATCGACTTCATGGGGTGTTTAAACAAAACTTTGTAAAGTTAAGAGAACCTAAATCATTTGTTGTAACCATGGAGATAATGATCTTAGAGTAAAAGAACAAATGTCCCGGAAATTGCTGACTAATCAAAGTTTCTGTAAATGCTTATTCGTTGCTGATTTCCCTCTTTGACACTCTATTTTGCATTTCAAAACATGACCAGAATTGGATTAATCTATATAGATAGACACACAAACACAGGGACACTATTACACACCTGCAGAGCCTGGCCTTGACCTTTGACCCTCTTCTTCATCATCAGTGACATCACGAAGTTGATCACAATGTGCCCGAATCTGTTCCAACAATCGCAGCACTCTGGCTTCCCGGCGCCCTCTTTTGTCATCAGGGTGACTGTGAACTATATTATGGAGGGCGGCGGCTGCTCGTGCCCTTGCGGCTTTGCTACCCCGTGTGTTGCCTAGCAACCCGGATTCTTTATCATTGCCATGCAGGAGTTGAATCAGTAATGGCAAACATCCTACGGGAAACAGAAACAATGCGACGATGAGCAACCCTTACAAATATTCTTTGATAGATACATACAATTTACAATGTGTTTTTTTGTAAGGGATGCACTATTTTACAAGGTAAGGTTTGGATGAAATCTAGTTTAACTCACAAAATTACAAATTATGATCTCAAATAAAAGGCAAACACCAGAAGAATAGAGGTTTTGAAATGATGAATGATGAATATTAGTAGATCTAGAATCACACTCAGATTGCAATCCATGCTATCATTAGTTTTACATCCAATCACTAGATGGCAGATATATTTCTATCCTCCACTCTGAAGATCAAGCACCGTTAGGGGGATGTCACGTAATCTACTAAATGTACTTAGAATTTCCCAAGAAGGCACTAAAAGGATTATTGGGAATTAGACAGTGGATGATGGATGACAAAGACGCATGACTGACATTTACCATCATTCACTGCAAAGTTGTTTTGAGCAATGAATTATGGGATTTATCATGATCCTCCATTTTAAGAAATCATGACAGGCACCAATCTGTCTAATTGTTAATTTTACATAAAATCATGACAAGGACCAACCTGACTGTCTCATTGCTATACAGCTATCCTGGGAGCTGGACATTGCAAGTAGTGTGCGACTCATGTCATCTTTGTCATGTGTCCCTAACATAGAGAGTAACGAATACACCATCTCAACCTGAAAAATACAAATATATATAAGGTTATGAAATCTATAAACTTGCTATAGAATATATTTTCTTTCAAATATGTATAAGTGAAATCTATAGACCATGAAACTTGTATATTTATCAAGTTAACTCCTGTGTAATGAATATGCCTTATTAAAAAATACATCAAATGCATTGCATAATAACATTATCACATTGGAACCATACTCACATGTTATTCATTTTTCCAAGTTCAATATAGAAGTCCGAACCATTATTTGATGATTCAGGAATTACGATTGTTTATTAATATCTGGTTTCAACTTTTTTATATTACTGTTGAATGATTGATGTGTTTTTAATGAGATATAAGCTGCCTTCAAATGAATATTACTAATGATCTATCACACATGGGGGAACAGAGAGAAAAAGTGGAGGGAGGGCAAGGGCGTAGCTAGGATAAAATATTAGGTGAGGCAAATGAAAATATAGGTGAGGCAAATGAAAATATAGGTGAGGCAAATGAAAATATAGGTGAGGCAAATGAAAATATAGGCGAGGCACAAATAGGCTTAATGAGGGATATTACTTCATTAAGACTTCATTTCAACAGTTTCTCTAAAGTTGTGGGGAATCATTTGCTTCGCCGGACTCATGCCTGTTTAAACTTGATCAAAAATACAAGATTTAAATTATTTTACATATCCCAGGTCTTCTAGTAGTTGCACAACTGTTTCAAACTCATATAAATTAACTCAATATGATCCATCACTGAATCCGCCACATTGAATTCCCAATAATCCATTGCACATAAGGATCAAAGAGGGTTTAATTGTCTGCCATTAATGACTGAATGGAGGACAATCCTGTTTAGTTGAGTCTTTATACACAAAAATGTATTGAGATATTCAAAAATGTTGAACTGTCAGTGGTTTCTTTAGCAGGAGATATCAGGCAAGTTTCTCCAATAGTTTTCCCTGAAATTCGCCTGCTTTGTTTCCTTGGAAATATTTCCATGTTAAAACCATAATATTTGCAATTTTGTTTTTCCCATTGTTTTCATTAATTTTGCCTTTTGTAGGAAACTCCCATGAAACCTCCCGATGTTAATTTCCAAACTTATTCTGTTCATTACCTTTGTCCCTAGCTGTTGTTGGTTTGCTCGCCTAGACCCTGTGGATGCATTACTTGAGTTAAAGCTCATGACACTTGATGTCTCCTGGTTCAAAACTCCCGAAAGACTCCCCTCTCCGGATACACCTAGATACAGACAAATATAATATTAATGTATTTTTACAAAACAGAAATACACAAATGTTCCTTAAATCATGTTTGAGTTTTTATTTTGTCTTTGTTCCATTTACATATCCGCAAGATATTCCTCTTCTATGAAATTATTAAAAGCCTGAATTTTGCATTTTGATACTGTTCAGAGTGAAATATCTCCTAATAATATTTCTATTGTTGAAATAACTCTGATAAGAGAATTTTGTTCCCTGAAAGTACCATATTTCAAGAACACGCTACAATTTCATTTTCCACGATAAAATCCAATAAATATTGCGTTGCATGATCAACTGAATTGTATCATATCCTAATAGATGTTTACCAAATCATCCCAAAAATGTTTTCTGTTCAGATAATCCAAAAACAACATCTGAAAATCCTTTTCAATGCTCTCCATCTTTATCTTTCAAGAACAAGATGAGCTTTAAAACATGCTCAGTGTAAAGAGTATTTGGGTTTTAAATCAAAAAGTTGCATATTTTTCTAAGTTCTATGTTAAACCAAATGGCTGCTGTAAACCAGTTTTTCAGAGTAGAATGTCAAATAATGTTTGAAGTAGACATAGATGAAAAGAATGAGTAAAGCTGTCTAGCTTTGTGCAAAATATCATTTGGTTCATGTTTTTCCATGTCAGATTGTGAAGAAATTAGAGAAATGACCAAGGAGAAAATTTCAAACCATAAAGTCAACACTCTAAATTGTATGAAAATGCAAGAAAATGTCACACTTCATTCAAATTTTAGAGAGAAATTGAGTGAAATAGACATGAACAGAAAGAAACAACTGGGCAGGATGTTACATGTATAAATATACAACAGGGTGTTCTAATAATTTATCCTGCTACTCAGAACAATAATATTGCAATATTTCACTGTTCCTTGCCCAAAGTGTCGTCTGCACGTAGTTTTCACATGTTTTTCTCTCTAAAATTTGAATGAAGTATTAATTTTTCTTCTATTTCCTTACAATTTCGAGTGTTGGCTACAAGCCTGGATACTCTATCCCTTGTCAATTCTACTTATTTCATCTCTAATTTGCATCTTAAAACATGGACATCAAGATATTTTATAGCTAGATATAGCAATATTTCACAGTTGTCTCGCAGGAAGGAAACCAAACCTAAAAAATTTCACGTGAGGCCTAACTTTGGATATTACCTCATTTTACAGCAAAACTTGAAAGAAGAGTTATTGCATACTTAAACAATAATATTGCTGTGTGATTTTTCTTGCTTTCTTACTTTTAAACATTTTTCATGGAAAACCACCAATCAACAGATGTATTTTAATTATCATGAGGTCCTTTATCTCTCTTTTATACAAATGACAATTAAAAATAAACTTTCCCTCAGATAAAAAATTGTGAAAAATGGATGATGGAATGATAAATAAGTGAAAAGCATTTTGCAGCAGTAAAATTAACATAATTTGACAACTGTTTGAGAGATACTTTTGGAAAGATCAGAAACAAGGGCGAAGTGACCTTGTGGTAAAAACAGTATTTCCCTCATTATTTATCCATTTGTCAAATATTAAGTACAAGCACAAATAGCAAATAGAATTTCACATTCACATGAATATCCATGTTTTTTTCACATCAAAAATCTGAAAGAAGCATCCAATTTGTTTTTAAGATTTCTTTATAATTTGAAGTGCTAGCTACATGTCTTGTTTACTTTATTCCTTGCTGATTCCACTCCTTTCAATTCAATTACCATTTCAAAACATGACAAGCGATGCATCTTTCCCAATTATTCTTATCCCGAAGACACCTACGACGTGAAGATTACTTCAATTAACGAATCCTGACAAGCTTCCACTCAATCATACGAAGAGAGAATACAAAACATCCTACAGCGATAATATCCTAATTCCAGGAAATACTACTGACTTTTAACCCCAATGACCTTGCTTTTACCCCAGGTTATATCATATGGGTGTCAAATCCACAGATCAAAAATGAACCACAGAATCTTTTTATTCGGTAAGATCTCTCCCATTGCTAGCCTACCCTAAATCTTTTTTCTTCATACCTAGATTTTATCAATTTTCTCTAGAACTTGAAAATGAAATGCATAATGACAATATGACAGTTCACGTTATTCCTTGCTAAGTCCACTCTTTCAACTGTACTTACACTTCAAACATAATCACTCTGACATTTTAATCATGGGCTTAAATCATTCTGTTCTTTATTGCAAGAAGGCAAATGTTAAACGATTGTCATAGAAACGTGTAGTTGATCAATGATTTTAAATTGAAATGTCTAAAACTATCAGGGATAATAAATTATTGGACTTATTTCGTTTTTCATTATGAATGGCATGCTGTGAAATAATCACCATTGAGAATATTATCCAATGTTAAAAAGCGTCTCACTTATTTTCCAATTTCTTTTATTCAATTTCAAAATATATCAGAAAAGAGTGGAATCGACAATAAATACAGCAATCACGCATGTAATCGATACTCCAAACTGTATAGAAATACAGGAAAATCATGGACTTCAATCAAATTCAACAGTGATATGGCGTAAAAAGGCATCATAAGCAGACGGACATTCATCATAAGCAGACGGACATTCAAAATCGTATCTTACCTTTTTCCATGGGCCACGCCCCATGATATAGTGAGGCAAGGTTCTGGTTGTTCTGTTTTTGCTCATCTATGACTGGAGACTGTGAGGAGAGGTTATTGTGACGTGTTCCGTTTGGAGGGTGGAATGTTGCACGCGAATCGTTACATTCCTTAGCTGCCATCTTTTGACTCTGAAATCAATTAATACAAGTTTCCTTCAAAATTTATTTCATTTTATTCTTTTTGGAGTTCATGTCCTTCGAGAATTAAACAGCATCGTCAAACACACTATTGCACAATTCACAATCGTAAATGAGTACTCCAAACTGAAGTGTAGCTGTATTCTAGTCAAAAGTATGTCCCCAAATATATATAAGTATAAATGGCACTAAGTAACATACAGAAACAAATAAAACTGTATTAAGAATGCCTTTTGTCATTCCGAATATTCAATTTTTGAAGTAATATTTGTTATTCAATTAATCAGGATAATGTAAGCTTATACAAATATATCATCAAATGAAGCCACTTTAAATCAGCCACATTAAATCAGTAACCACAAAATCTTCAGGATGTATTTCAAATTAGAAGCCATAACCAGGAGATTTAATATCAATATCATATAAGTCTATTAGTTGTAGTTTTAAAGGTTTGTTTACTCACATCGATGGTACTCGTTGCTGCGTCAACCACTAAAACATCATCATGCTTTGCCTCCGTCTGCTCCTCGCTCTGTTTCTGCAGTGCCATCTAGGGAGAAAAACAAAATGTAATTCATATTTTCCTTGATGTGATTTAATTTCTGATCATTTATTCTTATTGAAAAGAATTCAAGTAGACCCATCCCATTTATTTTGAACTATAAATACAAGCTGTATCAAAATCAAACTCTCTGATCATTCCTATTTCTCACTATTTCTCTCTAAAATTTGAATAAACTTCTTTGTTTTCTTGCATTTTTATACAATTTTAGAGTGTTAACTACATGTCTATTTACTTTATTCCTTGCTTTTTCCACTCTTTCCCACTCTATTTTGCATTTTAAAACATGACCACCATGAAATTTTTCATGTGAATGACATTCTTATATGTGATCCCAACACCTGTACTTTACATACTGCAGTTGACTTAATATTAACAGGTAAAACTAGCATGTTAAAAGAAAGCAAAAGAAAGTCTAATTTGTCAAAAAATGGATTGATTCATTAGATAATAATTAAAAACTAATGTTGACCTTGTTTCTTATCACCCGGCATGAGACTTAATCTTTAATAATCTGTCATATATTTGTAATTAATATCTATAAGTCTATACTGGTGTTAGATTAAACACAATTGCGTTAATGTAATAGCAAGTAAAGGTAGCAGTGTGATTAATATTAAGGTAAGACATTATGCAGTTATGTTGCAATTAAGGTGGAGCATGTAGTTCCAATTTTGTATATTGCGAATTTTGATTTAATTTATATATGAATGAGGACAATGTCATTAATTCGGAGCCTATATCATTGAAACCTCCAAACCCCTCTACCTTTATCGGCACTTCTACCTTTTTTAAACTTTAGTCACTAATGTAAAACATTTTTAAAACATTTCAATGTTTCTCTCAAGTTATGAGATTCAGGTAAATGTTTTGAACCATATTGTATATTAGACACTTGGTACTAGATAGTACTTACACCATCATTTCATTATTTTATATCACTAATGTCAGAGTTTTATTGAAATAAATAGCTTTTCTAAATTAAGTTTAATTCAGATTTTGCTTTCGAATTATGCATATAAGTAAGTACATCTGTGCAAGATGGCAAATTCTGCTGTTTAACCCATGAATCAAATTCCATGTGGGTCATATTGAAAAATGGAAAATGTTATGGAAATGAGTTGATCAGCATTCTATATTGTTTAGAATTCCAGGAAATTTGGTATTTCATTCAAATTAGAGAGAAAATTTACATAAAAGTCATGATTTGAGTGATTATTTAATATGACTAGACCTTATTTCAATATGCTATCTCTGTAATTCTATGATTTAACATGGAAACTATTGATTAAATGTCACTGCCCAGTAAAAATCTGACAATGGTCATCCGTCTGCTTAGACAAATTCTACGCTTTTTCTCTCTAAAATTTGAATGAACTGTCTTATTTTCTTGCATTTCCATACAATTTAGAGTGTTAACTACATGCCTGTTCACTTTGTTCCTTGCTAATTCCATTCTTTTTTACTCTATTTTGTGATTAAAAATATGACCATCATGATATTATACTCCTTGGCAGCAACTTGTTCAGGAAATCAGGCAAGTAATAAAAAACATGATACCTTCCGTTATTCTTATCTATTTATGAATTCATGAATCAAGTCAATATCATATTTACCACATAAACCATGCATAATACCAACTAATATCTTTGCCTTTAGAGTAAAATTAAAGATAAGTTCAAAAATTACGAGAGAAATTGTCGAAAATGTTTAATAGTTGTATTCCAGATAAATAAAAAAAAAGTGGGGCAATTACATTAGATAAGTGATCATATTTTCATATTCAAAATGCGTTCTACAATCTGACATAATAACAGATAAAACATAGCTCATTATAAGTAATAAATATTGAACTGAATCAAATCACAATAGAACAAAGTAAAACGAACAATGCCAAAAACCCAATCATTTCAATGGTTGATTAGAGAGTTATTTCATACTGTATGTCAGTCACAAAAAGAATTTATCCTGTTTTACATGCCTCCAAAATATTTGAAGTCTTTTTTTCAAGCTTATGTATTTCTTGAGTCTTTCTATTTCATCATTTAGGGAATTGACTTCGTGCTTTCTGAGCATTACTCGTTGATAGCTATCATCAAGGTTCAAATCTTTCTAGTTTATTTTGCAAAGGAAATTAGTAGATCTGTTCCATGTTTCTACAAGCACATACAGATAAGGCAGACATATTGACACAAAAACCTTCAAGAAAAATCTCACGGTGGTGATTATTTAAAGTGAAAATACAAGGAAATGAGAGAAATTAGCAAGGAATAAAGTAAACAGGCATGTAGCGAACACTCCAAATTGTATAGAAATGCCAGAAAGTTAGACTTTCTTCAAATTTTTGAGAGAAATTGAATGGAATATGCATGATCACAAAGATGGATGCTTTTATCAAGGAAACACAAGTCATATAAGGCCAAACATGCCTTCTAATCAAGAACAAGAAGAATACCTTTTCTAAAGGTATTATCGTCATGATGATAGGAAATAGGATTCATGTCCAAATTTCCTTAGAAGCTAGGATTTATCTTAGTATTTTGTCTCCTGATGGAGCAACTGCTGAGGGAGAAACGTTATCCCTTTCAATGATTTTACTTCTATAAAAGTGAGCTTCATCTACAGAGACTTCAATCTTAGTTACAATTTTAATGTAACATTTTTGGTCCCGAGATGCTGGAAACAAAATACAAGGTTATATATGTAACATGTGATCCTTTAAACTAGATTTTTACCTGTTGGGCCTTGTGCAGTCTCTGTATGCGTAACATCTCAGTCTCAATCATACGTATTCGCTGTAGTCTTGCTTCATGACGTTGAGATATGTGCTCCGTGGTCCCATAATTCTCTTGCATGAGGTCCCGGATCCTCTGAGCTTCAAAGTCCAGCTGACGTCGCGCCATATCCGTCTGTAGATTATACTGTAAATACAGAATGGACGCTTTTAGAATACAATCAATACAACGTCAGGGTATATTAGAGATGTGAATACTGCAGGAGAATGTCAATTTGATTCAAATATTTCAACCACATCAAACATACTACATAGTGTGATTCTGATCTATAAGAAAAAATGAGGAGAATCTTCAATACTGAGCCCGATTCCTTTATTTTGAAAAACACTGTTTCTATACAAATCAAAAACAATTTTCTGGTCAACCATTTAATAGCATATTTACGAAATACTGCAGACATTAACTTAAGATGATCATCCTTTAAAAAAATTAGATCCTGACAAAAACTGTACTTGAAAAGATGACATTTACTAAAAGAAAATTTGTGAGAGAAGACAGATTAAAAACAAATTGCATAAGATACAAGGAAATTCAATTTACCATGATTGCTAATCCTAATCTAAGATACTGCTTTTACTTTATATGCCTCTCAATATTTCCTAACATACTGTTCATTTTCTGATTTCTACAATTTCATTTTACAATGTATATGTTTCTGCATGCTCTATCTCTTATATCCAAATCATCTTTTCATTTTTTGTGTGTTACATCGTTGACTCTTTTTATGATTATCAGAACTAAACAGCAAAGCTTGATATTTTCCAATTTCAAAGTGCCTCGTGGAATTAATAACTGCCTTTAATTACATTCATGCTGATGTCCCAAGTATTGATTCATTCATTCCTCCTATTTCTCCTCCCTTTCTCTCACCTACCCCCCTCCCCTATCCCGCAAGCTGATACCATAGATCCTACTGCTATAAATCCGTTGATTAATAACATCTGTAAAATTTTTCAAATGTTCAACTTCTGTCTTTGATTACTGTCCTCATATGCCAAGTGAATATTTCATCTAGTTCACTTCACCTGAGTCAGGTTATCGGGAAGAAAAATCTCAAGGGGTCGCATTTTAAAACACAATGTAGAGAAAAATAAGAGGAATTATCAAGGAATAAAGTATACAAGTGTACAGTTGACACTTTAAATTATATAGAAATACAATGATTTCAGACACTTTAATCAAATTTTAGAGAGAAATCTAGTGAAATAAGCATGAGCAGACGACAATTCAAACACAGGCAAATCTGGATATGTGTAAATATCTCAAATATCGAAATTCTTATCAAGAACTGTTTATTAGCTCTTGAAACGTCTATCCCTTATGGCTTATAGAACAGTCAATAAGATAACTTCAATCATTTTATGTTAAAATTATCTGATTATTCAAACATTAAAATGTATAAATATAATTTAACAGATTTCAAAAACCAAGCTATAATCAGCTCAATGTAAGATATACTAGCCACAAAAATGTTAGTGTGAGGAGATGATTTCCCTTTATGCTAAAGCAATAGAAAACACTATGTGCAGCTCAGAGGATAGAAGTATACAATAGATATACTCTGAGGAAGACAAATAAATACACAGGGTATGGAAACAAGGAATCGCAGAGTAATCCCTCTAGATATGAACCTTTCAATAATTTGTTCTCTAAAATATGAAAATATAACTCTTGGAGGAAAAAAAAATGTCAGAGCGACTTAAAAATCATTTGAGACTGGTAAGAGAGTTATCATTGAAATATTGACTTCACTTGGCAGTAAATGACTATGCTAAGTCAATATTTGATTTATTTCTTCAGAACTTATTTATTTTGTTTTAACATCCTGACACTCGATAAATCAATTGTTTTACAAAAGACTTATTGAGGAGTATATTGATAAAACAACTCGAGTACTAATCTTGTAATCCTTTTCAAAGGTACATTACTATTACAGAAGAAGTAAAGGCGAAATCAATCAAAGCGCATTTGATTTTTTTAAATTAATCAGTTGTTCATTGATTGCAGTTGTAAACGAACACGACAAATGAAAATTTCAATAAAGTACTATTAAATTCAATATTCTTATCCTTGATCCCAGAAACATTGTAATTCGACCATTATAAAAAGAGAAATAGTTTACCTTGTGTGTCTTGAAGACATATGAGGTTGTCATAGTAATGTCTACTATATACTATTGGAAATAATCACAATAATTATCTCCTTATAGCATGCGATATACATGTATATCATTTTAAAGCAACATATTATCTATTATAATACAATGGCTGTAATATATCAACGTTAAGCCACAGGCCATTCCTAATGCCTGTATATTTCAAAACAAGTCTTATCATGGTTATACTCCTACATTATATCCATTAACTTCATGATATACCATTCGAAAGGAACATAAGCCTGCTGTCAGTTGACTGTTGAACAGATAAGTACAATATCCTATAAAATCTTATATGCTAAATTCAGACTCCAGTTTTTAGTCGAAATATAAATCTTAGAATGCACAGTCAGATATGCAGTATGAGATGAAACATGTTGATTATCAAATAGACCCGTAGGACATTCTAAATATTAGACCATATCAATACCCCTCGACTTAAAACTTCTCAACAGTCACATATTATTTCATAAAATTAATCATTAATTATATAATTTAGCTAAAAATAAATTACTTGAGCATTAGGAACTCACTTTAAATTGTATAAAAACTAAAAATTAAAGGGCACTTTAATCCAATTATTTTGCAAAAACACCGATATTCAGAAAACTGCTAAATATCTTTTGGTAAGGATATCCGTAAAGATGAAAGGAAATCAAAGGGAAGCTGAAAGTTTGATTATTTGGCTACAAGTCTTTGATAATCTTGACAACAATGGCAGTTGATTAAACTTAACAAATATTTTTGTTTGCTATATACACGCTTATAAATTCATGGACTGATCTGGCATACACGTATAATGATTGATGGATTTATTCTGGATTTAGATTCAACTAACAGACCCGAGTGGCTTTAAAACTGCCTCTTTAAAATTACAGATTATATTCATCCACTTATCAATATGACATCTTTCTCATCTTTTCTCTCTGTCAATAATCTGTGTCTATTATGTATTAATTCTTGCATGTTCAAAATATACATCTACTCATGCTTATCAGCAATAAGGGGCAGATCTGGAATATGACAAAAAGTGGTATATATATTTTTTCTATTCATATTGACCTAATTTTTGAACAATAATGACTTTTTCCAAATAAGGCGAACTAAATATCCCAGAATACCCCAGGGTAATATACTTATCTCATGAAATGTGTCAAAATTGTGAAACTGCTTCAATCAAACTTCATTTTCTCTGAACTAGCATATAAATTAAAAAATGACCTTGAGCCAGCCTATTATATGCCAACTGACAACAATCTATTTTTCAGCATATGGCCTTTATTCACAAATTGCCAGCTCTGTGTTTTATCCCTGACATTATTCTGGGGAAATTGCCTTATCTCATTATTGTTTTCTGTGCACATATTCTCCAGAACCTTAGCAAAAAATACTTAAAGGATCTGTCATAACAGTCATTTTCCACCCTTAGTACATCCAAAACGAGACTTAAACCACAATTGGTACACCATGTCAAGCCTGACAATGATAAGAAAATTAGGGAAAACCAAAAACTTTTAAGAAGATTTTACACTGTGGGATAATACAGGGAAATTATCTGAAAGGTAAAGCTGTATTTTATTGAACATCACACAAGAGAAACTCTAGGCATCAGCATATATACAGCCATATTACCCCAAATAATCAATACCTAACTTAGCTTGCTCAAAATAAAATATTACATCTGTATCTATTTCTTGCATGACGTTCAAAGTAGAATAGGAGAAGCAAATGATGTCACTAAAAGGTAAAAAGGTCAAGGTTAAATTGCATGGGAAGTACTGGATCTTGACAATGAGATATTTCATTGAGTAGTTTTACAATCCCGGGGAGATCACTGCAACAGATAAGTCAAGATGCTGCCCTCCCCCATATGAGCTTCAGACAAGAGCGTCAGACAGACTCAAGATGAAGTCAAGATGCTGCCCTCCCCCATATGAGCTTCAGACATGAGCGTCAGACAGATTCAAGATGAAGTCAAGATGCTGCCCTCCCCCATATGAGCTTCAGACATGAGCGTCAGACAGACTCAAGATGAAGTCAAGATGCTGCCCTCCCCCATATGAGCTTCAGACATGAGCGTCAGACAGACTCAAGATGAAGTCAAGATGCTGCCCTCCCCATATGAGCTTCAGACATGAGCGTCAGACAGACTCAAGATGAAGTCAAGATGCTGCCCTCCCCATATGAGCTTCAGACATGAGCGTCAGACAGACTCAAGATGAAGTCAAGATGCCGCCCTCCCCCATATGAGCTTCAGACATGAGCGTCAGACAGACTCAAGATGAAGTCAAGATGCTGCCCTCCCCCATATGAGCTTCAGACATGAGCGTCAGACAGACTCAAGATGAAGTCAAGATGCTGCCCTCCCCATATGAGCTTCAGACATGAGCGTCAGACAGACTCAAGATGAAGTCAAGATGCTGCCCTCCCCATATGAGCTTCAGACATGAGCTTCAGACAGACTCAAGATGAAGTCAAGATGCTGCCCTCCCCATATGAGCTTCAGACATGAGCGTCAGACAGACTCAAGATGAAAGACTAATTAAGTTCCCTAAATTAAAACTTCAAAATTGTTTCATATTTATTGCATGACGATTTTCCATTGGGATTTGCAAATTAATGATATTAAATTCACCTCTATTGGGATTCTGAGACAACCAACAGAAAAGAAAAAAGGCTAACAAATTCTAAAGCTACGTTCACTCCAACGGCGCTATGATGGCGCTTTAAAGCGGCACCAATGTGTAACAAAGTTTGATTAAAGCGTCGAGGTCGTAGAAAAGCTCGGAGTAAAGCGTGATATTCGGCAAGAGCGCCAAAAAATTTGAAACTGTTTAAAAATTTTGGGCGCTCTGTTACGAATTGATTAAAGCGCCGAGAGCATATCAAAGCTTAACAAACCGTAACAAAGCTCAGCAAAGCTTGGCCCAAAGCGTAGGAAAGCTTAACAGAGCTTGGTTCAAAGCGGGGACCCCAGTCTGTTACCACTTGACACGCTTCGTTAAGATGTCTCAAGATTTGCTACAATCTGGCATGAAGATCTGACATGAGGTCGGACGCTTTCATCAATATCTGACACTCTTTGTTACGCTTTCATGAAGGACTCTCAAGCTTTCCAACAAATTGAGATGCTTTAATCAAGGATTGAACGCTTTGTTAGGCTTTGTTACGCTTGACAAGTTTCCTCACGCTCTCTCACGCTCTTTCACGCTGGGCGACAAACATCATGTCTTCTTCAGATAGGTCATGCTCTGATCCATCTGGAATTTCTGGATCTTGTTGTTCTGCCATCGTGTTCTCGAGTCAAAGATGCAATGGTTTTATGAATCTACTGCATCTTTATATAGTCATTGGCATCAAAAGCGGCATGAAATCAGCAATCTCGACATTTTCCAATGCGTGACGGAGCTTAACAGAGCGTAAAAATGCACAACAGAGCTTGGCAATCGTATCAGAGCCTGATTTAAAGCGTCATAATCGCATCAAAGTGTAATAAAGCTTATCAAAGCGTGATTTCAAGCGTAACAAAGCCTGGTCGAAGCGGGATCAAAGTGTGAGGAACCATAACAAGTACAAGTCGGGAAATCAGAGCATATCAGAGCGTAACATTACTTAAAGGAGATCGTGATATTTTTGGAAAAGTAAACAAAAATGACGGTGCTATGCTCGCAGATTTAAAGCGTGGCATTCGCCGTTGGTGTGAACTTAGCTTAAAAGATCTAGCAACTCTGTATGATCTAATATACAGTAAAATCGGTGTATAGTGAACACCTATGGAAGCACAAAAGTGTTCACTGTTGGTGGTGTTTACTACAAAGAGGGGATTTTATACAGGAGTCAATGTAAAATGTGTCTTAAAGTGGTGTTCACTAAACAAAGGTATTCACAAGAGAAAGGTGTTCACTAAGATAGGTTTTACTGAATATAACAAGAATGCAGATTTGGAAACTGATGGGAGGAGGTGTTGATGGTCCAAAAATTGTATTTTGAAAATCCATGCCTTGTTGAAGAGTTCATCTTTTAATTTGTTGCTGATTTTTGAAAATGGTCCATAAACTAAAATAAAAAAATTAGGTACGCAACCTATTGTATAGTTAATCAATTCTACTCTTTCGAACATCATTTTACTAAATGTCAACAGAATAACAAGTTACATCAGTGGTAAGAAAAGTAAATTAACTTTAATTTTACTCCAAGGAATAACCGACTCATCTAGCTGTACTTACCAGATAAAAGGACATAAGAGTCTTATGTTCAATTCCAGAATAAGCTTTTAAAAAGCGATTTCATAGAAATCAATGCGTTCTTTATTTCACTTATTTTGTGTTAAAATGTTTGGCTAAAACAAGTCATAGGAAATCATGGTCCCAAAATCCTTCAAGAGACATTGCCACCTATCAGTATTTCCCCGTTACCTATAGGGGGAGCCAGTAGTCTTTTTGAACATGCGCTTCGATTCATGTCCTCGAAAGATCTCAACTTGCCAACATAATTCCCATTTGTAATCATAAGGGTAATGGTTATTTAGCTTGAATTAGGTTAATTGAAAAATATCCACTGTCCATAAATAATCAGCAACTTCAACATCAGAACAATCATTAAGTCATATTTATCATTCCATAGAGAAAGAGATAAATGCAGACTTTTATGAACTTGAACTATCATCTTGTGTTAATACAGTTTGCAGTGAATATGATAAAATGAACGCTCTATGGATAACGTATTGTAAACACCTTTCTTCTACAGCAACATTATGAACACCTCTCTCACTCCCCTACACCAACAGTGGGAACACCTCTCTCCTAGAAAAGAATTGTGAACACCCCTCCCCTGGACCAGTATTGTGAACACCTCTTTCTCCTAGACTAACATTGTGAACATGTCTTTCTTCTAGAGCAAATTTATCTTTTAATTCATCTTTTTCTAATTCACCTTCTAGAGCAAACATAATTGGGTTTGGGGAAAACTGACATAAAGAAGCAGGCACGACTGAAAAATAAATTTTCTTTTTTGATCACTGTTCATAAGGCTATAAGAAGTGTAATGCCAGACGTTGATGATTTGTTATTATTTTTTAATCATGTGGTAGAATATAAACACTGTCTTTCATACTTTGAAGTATAGAACTCAAAGGGAAGGCTCAGATTTTACTCTCAGACATAGTTCTTGTTTGAACAAGTATGTCTCTACAGAAGCCCTGTTAAATGCATCACAGTTGTTTATATGTCATCATTTTAGAGATGATATCATAATTTAAAGTATCACAATTACTACTGCTGGATTTCTAACCAAGAAATCAAGGCTTATTAACATGCAAACTGTCACCACCTGCCATTTGTTACAGTTGCTGAACACCAACTGCGGAACACCATTCACAAAAAAGTTGGGGACTATAACATTATGTTATCACTTCTGGTGTCGAACTAAAGACAATGATCAATATGTCAATTTTATGACATCAAAGTCGGTATAAGACTAGGTGAATTATAAAGGCGTATGGGGGGGGGGGGTATTCCATAGACTTGATAAAAGACTATCAAAAACATAGTTCATACTAATAGAAAGGAGGAAGGGCAAGAGAGAAAAAATATGATCCCAATTTCTAAAATATAGTAACTGATTGACAGATGAACATTCTCATAGCATCAAAAATGCACCAAATGGAACTAGTAATCCAATTAATTTGAAGTTATTATACAAAATATATTCGAATTTCCATCCCAAATGGGGTTAATGGAAGAAAATGGCTGGTTAAGAGTACATATGGGAACAATATCTCACCTAATTACAACTCTAAATGTGTGTAGTTACACTAACCCATCAGCACAGTTTCTACTATACAAAAGCTGCAGATATTGGATTTGATAGAACAAATGCCTTGGCCTTTAAATCAGAAAAGCAGTTAATGCCAGTGATTACTTCGGTCCAAAGCCGTCTCTATATTCCGGCTTTGAGGAGGAAGATTGAGCTGCCTTAGTATTATAAATATTGTAAATCATTGTGTCACACGCACAGTAAATATGGCATAATAATATGAAATATACCTTTATGTATAGATTTGAAGAACATCAGCTCACATCCCCGTCTGAATCTATTGTTATATTTGATTTCTTTAAGCGAGAATAATTTCAAATGTTATTCACGTCCAGAACCGGAAGCCATTTTTAGCTACAGCGAGAAAATTTCACCATGTGTCAAACTCCGAAATGAAATTTTGAAATATCTAAATCCAGACAAGCAACGCTTCATCCTAAATATGATTAATATTCTAAAAATATTTATAAAATTTATTAAAAATGAGTTCTAGGTGCGTGTAGGTGCGTGTAGCACAGTACATACGAAATCAATGAAGTTTCGTCTAGCTGTAAGCTAGAGACTCGAGTAAGCCAGTGACGTTTGAATTCGTAAATTATACCTGCCAAAAATTCAATCAAATAATTTCATTTTGTAAAAATTTTTGATGAAAGTTCCCAGTTTTTTAAATGTTCAGACAATTATGCATAAAACTGAATAATAAATGTTTTTCCATGCTAATTTAAGTACAAGAAGTCTATCATTACGCAAATATATCCACCATGGAATATTAAACACCATATTTCACCAAATGTGATTAGATTCAGGCGAGATAAATCTCGCAATATCACTAATCTTAAATTGGTAGACAAAATGCCCTATTACATCAGAACGAAAATCTCTATTGACAATGTAATCTCGCTGCATAAAGGAAAGACATCTGCTTATGACAAGGAAAGTATGATATGAAATTGAAAGAAAATTGATGATTATAATCTTAAGGATGTTCCCTGGACGAAGTTGAAAACGATGAACACCAACCCCTAATTTTTCTTTTCAAAATGTGAAGTACATAGCATAACTAAGTGTTTCTGTGAGTTTAAGAAAAAGTTAAATATTCAAAAGTGTGTTTTGGGGTGAAAACCTGATTTTTAACATGGGTTTCAATGAGAAAGTGCCACGCCCACTTTTGTCAAATATTGACACTTTAGAGGCCTCTTGCTCAGAAAAAAGCACACTAACATATGGTTTTTAAAGTTTTAATATTCTTTGTTGCCCGTGAGAATCCCAGAAAACCATTTTTGAGAAAAAGTTAAATACTATTGAATATTTTCCTATCTGACCAGGGAACATCCTTAAGCCAAGATAAACTCTTTAGCCAGATAGCCAAAGCTATTGCAGTCATTCATCAAAATGTATGAATCTAGAGGTAATATTTATAATCTAAATAACTGTATGTTGTCAAATCTTATATCTCCATAATACCCAAACCAGACTTGCCTGTACATGGACATGTATAGAGAATATAAAGGAAATGTAATTGAAAGTTTTTAAAACTTATCCAGGGGGATAAATATACATGCAATTGCAGCAATAGCAGGATCACCTATTAGATAACTGATTTATCTCATACTTGTTGTCATGACAAAGAAAAGTCCCAATGAGTATGACGTAAAAAGCACTTACGTTGTCAGTGACGGGAAGCTGTTCCACCTTATTGGTCACCTCCTCCAACTGCTCATGGTACCATTTACAATTGACATTCTCGTCTTCTAAGTCTTGAACAATCTTTTGTCTGAAAATACAAGAAATATTTGAATAATATATGTGGGACAGTTTCAACAGCACATTAGCTACAAACTAAAAATCTATGTATCCCTCATATATAGAATATTATATCCATCAAAATATTCAGAACCTTTCTTCTGTAGATGAAATCCTCTGAGAATTCACTTGATTTCCTTCATCATTTCATACCAATTGATATTCATGCTTTTCCTAAAATTCAATCAACATTCCACCCATTGTGTGTAATCATAAAATCGTCATACTTATTCATTTCCATCCATTATGCTCTATCATTGATAAACACATGTATCCATATTCATATATTCTCTGTAACTTGTTTCAGTGTATTTCCTGTATATCATCTACTCTGGTTGTGAATTTCCTGTACAATTTTCCTTGACCAGATACAGCTGTTCTCTGACCAGAGTCCCTCCAAATATGTGTCGACCTGGCCAAAAATTCAACTTTGACCTTCCTTCACAACTACTTCTTTTGGAAAATCCCAATATTTGAATGCACTAAAACCGTTTGATTCTACATGATATAAAGTCCAACCTTCACATTTCTATTCCCTATTGGTTCTCTATTTCACAGAATCTGCCAGCTTTATGACCACACTGAAATATTTTCTCTAGGTATACTCCAAAGATTGGGTCAGTGAAGTTACATTGGCTCATAGCTCCTTTAATTAGCCCTCTTACTGGCACAGTTTCCACCAGTTGTTTTAGCTTATTACCCCAGGTATTTGTGATCAGAGTTCTCATGTTTGCCTATACTGCCCTTGAGTATCATCTCAGTTAATTACACCTTTGATTACAGGTAAGAAGTTTGTTATATTTTCACACTAAATACCAAAATATTTAATGTAGATATCAAACAATAGAGGCACTAGAAATGGAAGTAGTAGCACAGTATTTCCTGTTTGTTTGACTCAGGAGACAAATCAAATATTTGGTATAATATGCCATATCACTCGAAATTGCCATATCTTCCTTATAAATGCCGTATTCTTTTTAAAATGGCATATATCTCTGACATATCTCTCAAAAATACCACATTCTTCTAAAATGGCATATCTTTTAGAAATGCTGTATGACTGTATCTCGTAAAATATGAATGACGAATACAAATCCTTTATTTCGTCTAACATTACTTTATATTTAAAATACAAAGTGTTTGGTTGATTAAATCATTTCAATATTCCACTGTTTGGAATGCTGATTTTTCTTAATCAGAGATGCATTTTCCAGGTAGCATCTGTTGTTTTAACAGATTAGTATTTGTTCAAGCAAATTGATTGTCCAAGAGGTCAATATTGATAATTGAGAAACAATCAATGTGTTATGTAATTTAATCAACACTACAAAGTACATCGAGCCCGTAGCTGGGATTTGCCAAGGGGGGTTAAGTTTTCAAAATTTTCAGGGGCTTTCACATTTGACAATTTTGGCCCAAATCTGGCTAAAATCACTTGAAAGGTGCTCAAAATGGTAAAAGCATGATTTTGAAATAATTTTTGGCCAGGGGGGGGGGAGGGGCGAACCCCCCTGGCTACGGGCCTGTACATGTACATACATTGGTCTTCCTTCAAGACAGTGTACCCCCCCTAATTTACTTCATACCGATGAGTAGGTAGGAGACTTGCAGGTAGACATACATATATACCAATGGCCATATTTTACGTTGTTATATGAATATTGAAATGGCCTTCTTTATAATATGAACTTTTTTACCAATAGATTTTTTAGACTGGGGCCTGGGGGTTTCACTCCTTAATATGTGCCGCACCAAAGACCCACTTTTTGAGCATTTTTCCATGTCAATTTCCTCTCAAGACTGAAGGTTTCCATGTTTTATTTCTCTCAAACTTACAAAGGCAATTGTATTATGTCCATGTCGAATGCCTCTGTAGTTTTCTGGGACAAAATGTCCCTAAAAATTGTTAAACTGACTAAAAGATATACTTTCCCCGGGGGACTGGCCATTCAACACAGGCAGGTGGGCCACAACATTTTATTAGGATATACCAAAGAAAAACATTTTGCACTTGGAAAATTTCAGTTTGAGCTATGTTGATTCAAAAGAAATTCAAGGACACTAAGTACCATGGGGAGAAGGGGGGGGGGAGAGGGAGACTGAGAGGCAGAGGGGGCATTAAGCCACCCGAACCAAGGTTACTTCAGAGGACCTATTACACAATACTGGAAACTATTAACGCAATATAAATACACTCAAGGATGAGATACACAAGTTTCATTCTCTGAAATATTTGTCCGTTTAACAGATCAATATAGAAACAATGACAGGACGGAGATCAAACAATGAGAGGACGGAGATCAAACAATGGTCAGGAAGCTAGTACATTATGCAAGATCGATAGAATCTGTAGAAAATTTTATGAACATCTCCATAAAATATCTCATTACCTGGAAATGGCCAATTTTGAGAAATTTTGGGAAAAATGAAAAAAGAGTGGAATCAGCATGGAATAAAATAAAGAGACATGTTGTTAACACCTCAAATTGTCTAAAATTGCCAAAAAACTAAAATATTTCAAACAAACTTTAAAAAGAACAACTGTGGAAAATGTGGTGTAACGACAAGACACATATTTATCATAGGTGCAAAATGATCTTTCCCAAGCGAGAGATGTAATATATCCTAATAAGGTATCGGTCCATCATAATCATACAGTTCATCTCCTAATGCACACATAGATTGGGGATATATTTTCATATTGTCTTATCATAAATGTCACATTGACCCTGTGGCTATGCATCTAGAAACATATTTGACATTTAGACTTACTACTTCATGGCTTCAAATGCGATATTGAAGAATTGAAGACTTATAAGTAATGTTGAATACCCATCACGTAACATTAAAAGCTCACAATCTCTAGGGCTCAAAATGTACTGTCAAAGCCTTGTATTATATTTAAGGGCTCGTCATATGTTAAAGGCTTATAATATAATGTTAAAGGCTCAAAATATAATGCTAAAGGCTCACTATATGTTGTCATGCTTTAGCTATGCCCATGTCAGTTAAAATTTCACGATTGATCAAATTGTATTGATACATGCATTTTCAAGCAATATTTGATTCTATTCAGTCCTTACCTGCGACAAACAAAAATTGTTTCCAAATAATCGTTATGAGTAAAGTAACTGTGGCTTAATAAGAAAAGAACAGATGCGAGATGGAGAAAACATCAAAGGATCAACATGCAAATTCTCAAAGACACCACATGACAGACGACAATCACCATTTATAAAACACCATTGAGAACATGCATTTGTGAGTTTTGTTTCTTTAATGTAAAAACAATAGAGTATTGTTAAACTTGGTGGTTTACAGAATTTGCAAAATAATAAGGGAACATCTCAAAATGAGAATGCACTCGAATTGGATGAAATCTTATTCATTATTTTGCCATCGATATGTTAATTCATATATTTATAAGATTGGTGAACTATTCTTATGATTGGACATATTCATGCAAATCTTTTTTGAAAGACCCTTATAATGTTTCATGAACTAAAGAAGCAATGAGGATTTTATTTGAATGAACAGATCAGAATTTCATACTTTAAAACAACCCAAATTCATGTAATTCTTTGCCATTTAACTGGTAAGAGGGTTAGAGGATAAATGCCATTTTACTAATTGAGAACTAAAACTCAGGAGGGAACTATTTTTAATCAGACTTACATTACGCAAATCACTAAAATGCCCGGAAGCTTAATTTCAGAGAACGTCTAATACATTTGAAATTATTGAACTTTGGATGACACGACTGAATTAAACATTAGATCATGATACACAAACAAATGCATAGCCTAAGAACATATTGGATTAAAATATAGTAAGTATTGCTTTTTGTAAATGAAGAATTCTCAGGAATAGCCGCAAAGTTTGACACTCTTGAATTCAGGCCGACACAAAATTTCGATTCCCTCACTCATGCAGGAGATAAACGTATTGAACATATATTCAACAAATATGAAGTTGTCGTTCATGTTTATATAAAAAATTTGGAAAATCAGACATTTCAATCAGATCATTTTCAGAAAATGTAAAATTCTCTCACTGGAAATCTTTTGGATAGATGGTGGAAAATTAGAATGCTATCCTATTTATATTCTTTAAGTATCTTACTGGTCATGTTCTTTTCACGTTTTTCCTTTCTTTAAAGAATAAATTCTCTGATACAATTAAGAGTATAATATACACATCCGTTTACTTTATTCCTTGCTGATTCCACTCTTTTTCGTGATAGTTTGAATTTCAAAACATGACCGCAGTGTTTTGTTTGCAAGGTACCATGAAAAGACTAGCAGAGATCAATACCAGACATTTATATGCCCGAGGCGTTTTCTTATTATATCCCAATAGCCCATAGACAATTTCCTATTATGTAACTCTTTTTCACAAAATGAAGATGAAATAACAAGAGGTAACATGGAGTACACTTTTTACATTGCAGAAATATACACATTCATCATAAAAAAGGATGCAAAATGATAAATTCAAAATGGTGAAAAAGAGTGGCAAGAAATTATAGCGAGAATGTAGCCAATGCTTTGAATTGTAAGAAAATACAAGAAAATCAAATACTTCATTCAAATTTTAGAGATATCAAATCAAAAAAGCCTGAGCAGACGTTCATTTTCTTAAACTAAATATTATCATGTTTAGGTACATGTATGTAGGAGTTCAATGTCCCCTAGGAGTCCATGGAATTCTTATTGAATTTCATCAACAGGCTACAAATAATGAGAGGCAAAAATAGCAATAAGGTGAGGGAATTGATGTGCATAACCATAGCTTCTTATTTTCTCTTGGGATGAGTTTAGATACTTCAATTTTCACTTTGGTTATAACTGAGCCATTTGAGACACAAAATTCCAATACACATACATAATAATAAAGCTGAATTAACCAAATACACATTGTACAGTAGGTTCCAAAGCATCCTCCGAACACAGGCCTCTGGAACTGGTAACTGACCTTCCAGAGGAAAGAAGGAATGTAGTAGGTGATGTCTAGAGCACTGCGTTTGGAGGATGGTTCCAAAACCTATATTATCTCTTGAAGAGAGAAGGTATCTCTCACAACCATTAGATAAAGAGGGATCCTGATAAATCAGAATGCAAGCTCGGATCATAATTCCCGATGGAAGATCATTCTTTATGAAACAAACATTTAAAAATCTTCTTGAAAGATCCTACTAACCTTTCTCGATCTAGTTCCAGAAACAGCGAATATAATTCCTTGTCGCCGCTTTGCCGTTTGCTCGGACTGCCCTCTTGTGGTGGTGTCTGTGAATTATCCTGTGAATTATGGTGATTTGCGATATTTAACTGTATATTGGCAGTTGTGTTATTTGGCTTTGAGTTGGCAGTTTCATTTGGGTTATCATTTTGTGTTTTTTGTGTAGTTTGTATTCCACCTTGGTTTGTGTTTGTATTGTTTGTATTGCTGTCTGTTAAACCATCATCTGAAAAAACAGAAAATAATATTTTTAAAATGGATTAATTATGTTTTTATATAAATAGGGTGTTACATAGACCTTTCACACATTTTCATCACATGAATACATCCTCACTCTATTGCAGCGAGGATTAGAATATTCAATTTGATAAGTAACAAGCCAAGTAAACCAGGAAAGTTTGAAGATACTGGCAACCAACCCTATCAAGTTACATCTCATGTATTTTCAAACAGACATAAATAAAACGATTTCTTTCTATTTTAAATCTTCATGGTGGTATAACATCACAAATTTATCTTTTCCACTTTGCAAATTTTTATGACTCAGGTTAAGTCAGCACCTGCTTTTTGGTTACAGTTTGCCAGAAAAACACATTTTTCATGCTTAGTATCCTGCCGTAAACATATTCTTAGTTTGTGATTAATGAATTTTGAGGAGCTGGCATGACTCCTTTTTAGCCAACAAACCATTTTTCTCTTTCATATTCATGTATAAGACAAGACATCATATTGAAATTAATTACACTGGTTCCCATCTTTAACTAAATATATTTTTGTATACTCCTAAATAAATTCTATTGTAAGTTTAAGATACAGCTTTTTAATTTTTTGTAATATGATACAATGCTACATTTCCCTCTTACCGTCTAAGTATATTACATTTCTAATTTAAAAAATATAAAAAATGTAAGTAAGACGAAAAGGGTTAACTACTATATAAGCAGTAATATCATAAAATGGCTTCATTATTAAAAATTTGTAAAAACTTCATGAATATGAAAAAACACTAACAGCGTGATAACTTCTTATTTTATGGAAAAACTGTAAATAACCCACGAAGCAAATTCAGCGATAGTTTAGTTTTAAAATGCCAAAAAGAGCAGATAAGAGTGAAATCTTTAAGAAATAAAATAAGGAAACATTCAAGTATCACTTCTTTATTTTGCACTTTACAAGAAATATAGCTGTTTAGCGAAATTTCAGAGAGAAAAGCAAGAAATAGGCATGACCAAAATGTAATATTTAACTTAGGTACACCACATTATTGCATCGACATTATGACCTTTTTGTAAGAACTGCAGAACTTCTGTGCCATAACACAAAACAAATCAATGAGAAAATATTGGCAAATTCATTCAAATATATTCAACCTTTAGAAATATTTCACATTCCGAATGTCTTTACAGCTATTCCTCTCTGAAAATCTTATTTTTCCCTGTTTTTCGATATAATACCAAGTCTATATTGCATGCAACTTCACAAAATTCCTTGTTTATCCATTCCATCTCTGACTTTATCTGACAAAGAATATCATAATGATTATTTCAATTTGATAAGGGTTTACATAACAATAATTATGAATTCTCTATGAAATTGTAGCGACTTGCTGAGTTAAATGATGATTTATTGTTAAAACAAACGCTAAATGTGAGAAAAATATTGGGAGTTTAATCCAAAATAGAAACCATTCCTGGTGGCAGGAAGGAATGCTGGGGCTTGTATCCCTACGTCAGGGAACAGGAAATGGTAGGGGGGGGGGGAGGTATTCTCCTTTAGGAGAAAATGGGATGTACAGTAGTTGATGTGCCGTCCTTAATGTAGCATAACAAGTCTTCACCTTAGCCAACCAATGGTGGAAGAATGGAATCGGCAAGAGGAGGGAAACCCCATGATTCAATTGATGACATACGATTTCCACCTTCGCGCACCTCCTTTCCCGGAAGTACGTATATTTGTTTACCCTCCATCTTGGTTTTCAAAGTTTTCAAATTGACCTAGTTTTGAACCAATCAACGATCGATTCGCTAAACCAATCAGCGACGATGTCATCTCAATACAGATTTACATTATAAGCGTATGTCATCTTTGAATCCTGGGGTTTCTCCCCCTCTTGGAATCAGCATGGAATAACTTCATTAGGCATGACGTAAACAGTTACATTACATAGATCTGCTGTTAAATCAGGGAATTCATATATATTTTAGATAAAGAGATGAAGTGTATAACTACAACCTGAGGAAATTTAAGTAATAATTCATATTAATTCTCACTCACTATTTCAATCAATCTACTTTCAATGACCTTGCATATGAGTTCATCTGAGTTTCATTAAATTGATATTGAATATATGACTCAAGAAAATCTTTTTTTCATTTTTTGAAATATAAATCCCATTAGGTTACAATACGAATATTATGAATATGAATACATTCTGCGACTACACTGACAGGCCTTTAGAACTGAGTCACTTGAATAAGAATAACAAGACATTAACATGAAAATATGTCACCAGCTGGTAAGTTATAACAAACCATTGCAGAAGTGTAACAAGGTGTTACAGACACTAATTGGTTAAAACCAATACCAAACACTAACACCAAACTCTCAATCACAGTCACAAAAACAAAGTCTCTCTCAAGACGTCACCACTTGTAGTAGTGACATTTCACCACTTGTAGAAGAAATCACTACCACTTTAAGAGTGACATATAATCATTAAATTAAAGAAGTCAGTCATCCTGCAAAACTCTTAATTAATGTAAAACCAGAAAATTAAGAAAGCACTAATTGTCCTTATTCAGGTAGGTTCAATAGAATCGAGACCTTACCACCTTAAACTTTCCGAGATGAGAACTGATCAATGGGCAATTTCCTAATTGCAACCACTTTGTGTACACTCCATGCTTCACCCTCTGATACTGAAATCTTCCCTTTATTAATTCAACACTTCTTTATAGATTTTCTACAAGATCATTCCAAAAGTTTTAAGAACATTTAAAGGTGTATCAAAGACAAGTTAGAAGTTATATTCGTCACTATCTCATGCAAAAAGTATCAGCAAGGAAAAAGTAAATTCCTCGACTTTATGGAACACCTTTGAACCACCTTTATAGTTCCTCAATACAGAGAAAGTATATCTTGTTTACTTAGATAGATGATATTGTAGACTTAGAAGACATTAATCCTCTTATTATTTGCAAACATTTCTGAAAACCATACTTCAATTTATAAAACACAAATACTGAATATGTGTATATATACATCTCACTACACAGTCTAATGCAGTGCAACAAGGAAAATTGTAACCCGAGTCAGTCTATTTATTTAGATGGGTTTGGTTCTTGGTGTCTGTATTTTGGATTGTATCTAATAACGCTCTATTTACAGCCAAGACATGATTCAAACAATAGAAGTTCTGATGAGATTCAGGACATCTTGGGACAGCTTCATAAACATATCATGTCTATGATTTTTTATATAAAAGCCAAAACAGAGTAAATATAAATAAAGATGTTCTCCCACAACGAAGAACATTGACCATGTTTAGACTTTGATATTTGGGTATCAAAATTAAAAAATGAACAAAAGAGAAAAAAATCCATGGCAAGAAATTAATAACAGAACTTGGCCTTACCAAGTTGTCAAAGTATAACAGTTCCAATGCTTGGAAATTAGAATATGGTGTCTATTTTAGGAGATTTCTCTCTAAAATCTAATTATGAATCTGACTTTTTGGCATTTCTATAGTTTGCAGTGTTGACAATATGACTATATACTCCATTCCTTGATGATTCCACTCTTTTCCACTCTATTTTACATTTTAGAACATGACCAATATTTATTTTTCCATAGTTAGAAAGTGCTAACAGGGTTGATAGTGTGTAAAAGACTACCCCTGTCTGATGAGAAATCAATAACAGAGTGTGGATGACTTTTGTTGATTTCACACAATCTTGTGTCAAAAAGGAATCCATTCATAATGTTACAATTAAAACTTGGATAATTTACCATAGACTAAAAATAGAAAAAACTTGAGGATTGCATGAGAAGTTTGCTGCCAATCTTCTAATAGGTATTTTCAAGAATTCAAAAATGTGCCAAATTTATTTTGAAAATCTTCAATCAGAATTTTCTCTGTAAAAATAGACAACTTTGAGGAATACAAATTTATTGGCTCTCATTCATGTTTTGGAAATGCCTACTTTATACTTCTGTATATATCTGAGAAATACAATATTCTTGCTTGCAACAGAATGCGTTCCAATAATCCACCCTTGACTAAAATCTCCGTCTGCTCTTGCATTTTCACTCAATTTCTCTCTAAAATTTGAATAAACTGCCTGATTTCCGTGCATTTCTATACAATTTAGAGTGTTGACTACATGCCTGTATACCTTATTCCTTGCTAATTCTACTATTTTTTACTGTATTTAGCATAACAAATACACAACTCCCGTGATATTTCTCCGACTTTCCCATGATATTGTCATGGCTGAATCACTTAATGCCAATAGGAGATAAGGCTGATTCAGCTATATGAATCTACATTATTGCGCAAAACCTGGATGATTTCTGTTATTTTCTATACATTTTTTATGAAGGGCTACCCTCGAGGTTAATAGTTTTAAAACACTGAAGTTAATAGACTAAAAAATAATGGAATTATTGGGATACTTCAGATAAAATGGGGTAACAATGAAAAAATAATAATGTCATTTGACACTCAGGGTATCCCGTATCATACATTTAGATGTCAATTTTTCACCAGACACATTTGAACATAATTTTTTCATGGTTTAAAAGGCTTTGTTCTTTTGCAATGCTGCCATGTGTTAATACAGGACACGTTTGAAGGTATATTTCCTTGAATGTTTTGAGTCCTTTCTCTTTATATATACTGTATACAGTATAGGGGTTTAGGGGATGTATTCACTCCCTGTTCAATGAAATCACAAGCAGTTGATAGTATGAACATATTAGTATATAACACATAAACTTTCCTTGATTTATTTTAATTACATTCTCCCCCACCTACTTCTTCTGATAGACCGCAGGCCCGTAGCCAGGATTTGCCAAGGGGGGTTCACATTTGACAATTTTGGCCCAAATATGGCTAAAATCACTTGAGAATGGTAAAAAACTGCATGATTTTGAAAGAATTTTTGGCCAGGTAGAGGGGCGCCCAAACCCAGCGAACCCCCCTGGCTACGGGCCTGGACTGATACTCAAAGTCAATGTCTGAAACTGAAACTTTTTCTCTGATTTCTTTCCTAGTATAGATATGAATTAGAATATGAATGCCTATAAATATTTAGTATGTACCGTTATATGTCAGAGTCACAAATATACCTCCAAATTGACTCTTCAATATTCTATTATTAATGTACAAATTTTATAAATAAAAAAATGAGTGCCTTATCAAAACATGGTACTCAACTTACTTTTATAAATAGTCCGTTTGATCCTTGTTTTTACTTCCCGAGCCTTGTCATGAATATACAGTTAGTGTATTTATCCAAAATGTTGATGCTTTTATCATCTCACTATCCTGATAAAACCGCCACTTTCTAATAACAGAATGATTCCTCAAATATTTATCCTGAGTGAATACAACACTGACGTGAAGACCTATAAATTATCTCCGAATATTAAAGTGCTAAAAATTATATCCTATAAACGCTGTGTATGATCCTGGTAATTCCCTAAGTGCATCAAGTATTATGTTACCTTAGCTGAGGACAAATTCAATGTGAAGTTCTTCACTTATTATAGCTTTTAAGATTCAGCATGTGTTCCTGTGTATTCTCCACAGTGGGAATGACACTGTTATTATCAATGCTAGCTAGGTAAGAGTATTGATCATATTAACTAGAGGCTTCATAGAATATTTCCCCTCGCAAAATGTAAAAATAAAAAATGAATCTCCCAATGCAAAATCTTCAATGATGAAGTAATACCATGATATTGAGTGAAATAGAGTGATATTGCCCTTATTTGGTCAGCTTGAATGACTGTGATTTTTTGGAGCGCCTAAAAATTCTAACATTTTTGGAAGGGTGAAAAAAAAGTTGGTATTTTATTTTGCACTAATTTGATGTATCAAGATATTTCATATGACTGAAGAAAAACACTGGTTTAACAGTATGTTTTGTACTGGATCGTAAAAATCATTCCTAACAGAATAAAACTGATATCCACCCTTGAATAAACCTTTAATTTAGTCACACCTATTTCTCTCCATTTCTCTCTTACTATCACAAAAGAAAATGATTTCATAACATTTCTGTATAATTTGGACGATAACAATATATAGGATAATTTTTTTCTTCGGTAACATATCTCATTTTTTCAATTTTAAGTACTAAAGTTATTTATACTTGAGAAATTACTCCAGGGGTCCACATGAAAGCTGACGATTCTAACTGAAGATAAAAAATTTCAAATCATGAAAACCCAACAAAAGTCAACTTTCTATTTAATCATATACAATACAGGCATACACCAAGGTTCAATTCCTTCTAGTCCAATGCTTCCCTATGACAATAATTTATCGTTAAAATCAAAATTTTAATAGAAATTTAAGGAATAATAGAACATTTAAGGCGTCATTAGTGCTACCTTCTTTGAAGTGAGACTCGAAAACAATTAAAAGAAGATAAATAGGCGGACTGGTCCAGACTCTTTGAACAAGAAAATAATTAAAGGCATGGTTTACTACTTCTTAAGATCATGGATTTTGACTTATGACCATGAAATAACTTGAAGTGCACAGTATAACTCACAGCCACGAAAAATGGCTGAACTTGAGATAACTGTCAGTTGGCTATGAGGCTAGGTTTTTTGGGGGTTATGTACTTGACTGAAGACAAGTGAACAAGCATTCTTTATGGTTGTAAGTTACGTAGATATATCCAGTCAAAATAATATAAGTACTTCGCAAAGCAGTCTGCCAGAGTCAGAAAAATGT